AAAAACACACGGAAAACCATTATAATGGAGAAAAAATATGTAACCCGTGGTTAAGTTTAGTTTCCAGAAAACTAAAAAAGGGCAATTCCTTCTCGTGTTTCCTTCATATGGGCCACATTTCAGTGACATGGGATCTTTGAGTCTGTCCCTACTATAGATTAAGATAAGATAAGATAAGATAAGATATGTCAAAGTTTCCTCATTGTTGCATTCGTCATGCTACTTAAAAACTTGAAAACTTCTTCCTCCCTGGGGTTTAGTCGAAAAATATCAAGGGTCCAAACCTGAAGAGCTGGACCCCAGACATCACATTCACATATTACTTATGTCAGTAAATTTAAGCATATAATAATATAATGATCTTTCTGTAACGCCTCTCAAAGAGTAAGAAGGTGCTTATAATATAATAAGTCATAGAGAAACCAGACCAAAAACATTACACAGAGAAAATGCAATAAAAATTTTGATTTTGTATCAAGTCTGGACCGTGGAACTTAAATCAACATTTATTTCTCTGATCTCAGCAGTCTCTGAACAGAATGAGGGGTTAAGAGTTAAGAAATGTAAAGCGGAACAAGACCATGTAGGGATTTGAAAGTATGAATTCTGTAACTAACAGGCTGCCAGTGTATTTTTCGACCAGGACTGGAGTGATGTGTTCTTTATTCGTCCCTATGAGTTCCCTATAAGTGTTAGTGAAAGGTCCGGCTGCGCCATTCCGCACCAACTGACAACTGCTGCGTTGTTTTGGCAAGTAAATAATGAATTACAGTATTCTAGGCCGGAGGAAATGGGTTTTTTGGGGAGCATTGGTCTGACTGGCAATATTATTGATTTTGAAATACATCTGGGCAAGAATCTTGATGTGCTTGAAGTGGACATACTGATCAAAAACAAGGACGTTGTGTTGCGTGTTTCAAGATGAGGGATGACACTTTTAGGATTCTGACTTAAGTCTCATCAGTGTTCAGTTGCAGGAAGTTGGAAGCCATCCAGTCCTTAAAGTAGAAAAGTGTAATTCAAGACAAAATGCTCCTAAACAATATGGGCACGCATTTCACCTCCCCCCACAAGATTGTTTACAGGTGAACACCTGTAATAACCCTTGCAGTGTCCTCAAAAAATGTTCCAGTCTTGCCTCATCTCATGCCGATAACGTCAAGTGATTACAATATGACAGTGGGCCAGATTTGGTAGCCACATATGGCCCATGATATAGCCCTGTGTCAGCCAACCGTACACTATGACCATAGCTTGCTTGCCAGACAACCTTCAGCACTGGTTCCTGGTGTCAGCTTTAACTAAACCTTCAACTTTACAGTGCGAGAATGCTGAAACTTGTGCAACATGAGGCCAGGATGTGTATGCCTTTTCCTCCAGTTGTGTCCCTCTTTCCCCAGAGCTCAGTAATATAAACTATGAAAGTTAGGTTATTTCTTGCAGCTTAAGATTTATGGAATAATTATGAACCTTAAAGATCCCCTCTAGACATAATGAAGACATATACAAATAGTCCATTCTGAGTGTAACAAGTAGCAAGGTATTTTCACTTGTGTCTTTTCCTCATGTGGACACATAGGGGATACAATCATACACAACAAAACTAAAGGTTAAACATCCCAGGATTAAAGGCCCCTTTCAGTAACATGGCTAGCACTCAGCCAGTCATGCCAAAAACACTTAACTCTTAACACTTAAATGATGTCATCTCTATTGTCACACAAGTGTGAGCTAACAGTAACTTTGAATACTCTGTTTGACAAGTAAGATCAAAACCAGTTTGGATCAGTTTACACGTAGGCCAACCAGTTCCTGAGTGTGTTCAGTAGAATTGTATGAACAGTGAGATTACCAATGTCATTTGTTATTCTGAGTAGAGCTTTTTTTGTACTGTAGTGCTTTCTAAAGCCAGACAGCGATGTCAGGGACAGACTTTCAATGGGATGAATATTGTCGTCTTGAGGAAGCGTAATAGTCTTTTTTAGTGAATATTGCAAGCTTAATTTAATTTTGTTTAACCATGTCGTGGAGGTCTATATCACACCAGTTGTTCCATTAGGCATGTTGCGGTGTCCACATGGCGGCTGTCAGCATCTCAAAACTGCAGAATTGAAGCCCAAAAAGATAAGATTAGAGCAGAACTGTAGATCTGTTGTCCATCTTCATCAGCCGTTGCCCGTTGGCTACCGTGGTGGAGGTTGACTCAGCCGTCCAATTCGGGGTGATTGAGGCACTGATTAAAAGGCAAAATAAGATAAATTCCGAACTAGGCCTTCAGATGCAACAGCCAGCTTTACCACGTCATCAGCATGCTCTACCTACCCTTTCTAAAAAATAAAAAAAAACCTGACAGGAAACGCATGGATTTACTGGCGGTACGGGTTTGTGGAATTCAAGAAAGAGTGATTAGCATCAGCATCTTAGATAACTGGTAAGGGTGTTTTGAGTTTTAGCCATTTTTCCGAGATTGTGCAGATTATGTAGTTGGGCCCGCACAAAATTCATGTTGTAAAACTGTCTGTAGTGCCAACCTCTGTGTCTGGCAAATGGAGCTGAAACGAAAGTAACTTGAGGCTGCCTGGGGCTTGCTACAGACGTGAGTCAATATCCATAACGCCCTATATTAAAATGCCCAACTGTACAGCAGAAATAAACACGTTTACAGCCTGGTACAAAAAACTGTTTTGTTGTCTGTAGCTAAATTCCCCCATTTGTGACAATTGTACCGGGTGGTGGTGGATTAAAAGCCACCTGTTTAAATTATATTAGGGGTTAAAGTTAGGAGTCAGGACTTCCAGGATGACACAGTGACTAAGCAATAACACAGTATGGGCTTTCGTTTTCTATCTCAGCCATTCTGCCTTTCACTTATTGCTTCATTCTGAATGTCAAGGGTTGTCACGTTCACAATGATGCAGTGAGGGAGCTCCTACAGAGGCTTAGCATCTAAAATGCCAGGAGAAAACAAAAGCACCACAGTTTGCACAGCTACACTCTATCAGAATCTATCATGAACAATTGGCTACACCATTTGTATTTCCTAAGTGTGTTTTGGAAAAGGGGCTCAGTTATATTTGGACTTCCCTGGCATATGACTGACTTGTTCACAGTTTCTAATAAGTAACGACAAATGTGTCTATTTGTCTGATGTCAAATTATTAAATTGTTAAGGATCAGTGTGAAGCATTTAGTGCCATCTAGCAGTGAACAGCTGATTCTAAGGTAACGAAAACAGAATATTTCATATTTTCAGGTGATTATTCACGAATGAAATATACCTATGAACATTATATTCCATTTCTGCCAGTAGACCCTCCTAAATGTTACACACTGTACCTTTTTAAATATTGACACTGAATTAGACAAGTGTGTATACTGTGACTGAACAGCTGTTAATTTTTCCAGCCCTCATAAAGACTGTTTGATAAAGTCTTACCTCTCAACATTCTTTTAGATGGCCAGAGATACAACTCAAATGGGTGCTGACGTTGCTGTGGTTTCTCTGGACGTGTAAGTGATATGGAAACTGTATACTTTATCCCAGCTATTGAAGGTAACCTTATTAATGACACAGTAATACTTAAAAGAAGCGATATTTCTATACTTAGTTTTCAGAAACATCCATATTCTTACTATATGTACATAAGATCAATGATGGAATGAGTTTAAAGAGTTAAACTCCACATTTTGACTGTGCTCACTGTAGTGCTCAGTACATATTGTGCAGCCATTTACACAAGGTTGATACCTAACAACCCACACCGTTAGTGCCAGTGCTAGTCCAACATGGTTCAGGAAACATGAAGGGCATTAACTTGTATCGCTTCATGTATCTTAAGATGTGGCAACAGCTTTGTGGCTTCCTTGATAATCTTGATAATATCAAGATCTGTCTCCTCTGACAAGGACAGTGAACACTTAAACACTGCACTGGCTCGTAGCAGAGTGAGGGTGTAGAGGTCAGAGTAGAATCGCCACTATCCCCGAGGAGCTAACTGCGTTGTAGGAAGTAGCCGTGAACATATAATCATCAGTCCAACAATTAGAGATGCATAAGTGAGACAAGATGCTGTGGTTAAACACATCCTTAAAGTGCTCATCCTTGTGTCTGAGTAATCTGCTTATGAAGGTTGAATTGCTGTATTGAGAAGAATTCACATAAGAAGGAAGAAAATGTCAAATTCAAGTTTTGTACTGGCACAAAATGTTTTTAGGAAATATCGTTTCCATAGTTTTAACAATAGTGCGTTGTGTTTGTATTTGACATCATTTGGGGCGCAGTCATTTCTTTGTTGTGTATCCCTTAGTCTATCTTAATACAATACTCACACAGCCATGTCTACTTTAATTGTTCTTCCTGTCCATACTGGCTGCAAAGAGATCCCTTCGTAAAGCAATGTCAGTGTAACTGCTGGGGGACAAAATCTACAGTCCTCGCGTTACACAAATTAATTCTAATGTTAACCTAAAGCTAATATTAGGCTTCAGCAGTCTGAGTTAGATGAATCAAGTTACAGTCTCTTTAGTACTAAATTCTGGCTTTGTGCAACTATCCTTCCTCGGCAGGTGCAAGCACAAAGAGGGGAGTTTTCTGAAAAGGCTTTAACTATGGAAGATAACCACTTCATTTGTCTCACTGAACTCCCCCCCCCATCCCATCCCATCTTTTGTTGGAGTTACTCAACACTTTTTTTTGACAGAAATCATAATGTGTTGCTCAATCAGCTTATATCGTTTACGTGACACTTGTAAATAACCTCTGAAAGCGTGACAGACGCTATTCAAACGGAGCAATTCATGAAACGAGACTATAAAAACCAGACAGGCAGGGTTGTCTACATTGTTCTGTCGTTCATGCGTGCATCAGGGTCGGAGCACAAGGTGATCATGCATCGTCCATCCTAAAATAGTGTTTTCCTCCCCCTACTGGTGTGTTGGGTATCGAGTCCCTAACCTTCCACCACTGAAATAAGTAGTGTGACAGAAAAGGGACAGACAGATAAGCAGGAAATCACTTTTATTGCACATTGACATTAATTTAACAAATGACACAAACAATGACAATACAGCAACTTTTGGAATTAAAATGTCTACTTTAAATGATATAAATATTTAAAATATATTACTACAACTCCCATTTCTGCTATAACAGAACTTTAGTTTTTATGGTTAAGGCAGTGAGGCTTTGGTTTTCTAACTTTTTGTCCTTCATTCTTCGAGCTCGACAAGTTTCTTCAATTCAGACTTCAGTAGGTCTTCATCCCCTTCCTCCTCCTCCTCCTCTACCTCCACCTCTATTCCATCCATTGTTTTCTGCAGCTCTTCCTTGATGCGGTTCAGCTCCAGCAGCCCGTCCTGCAGGTCCTTACACACTTCTCGGATCTTACCGGCGAACTCCGTCTTCGCTCCCTTTTTGAGCTCCATGGAATCCTTGGCCAGGAAGAAGACATCAAGAGCCAGGAAGAGACCGGACATGACTCCGGTGGTGACGCTCATCACCTGGGCAGCTTTGGCAGCCCCTCCTGCAACGCTAAGGACTTGAACGGTACCAATCAGGCTCTCTGTGTTGATCAGTAAAGCCTTGCCGGCCCGGCCGCCCTCCTTCACCACATGTTTGACGTTCTGGTTGAGGTGTTTCTTTGAGATGCTCTCAGCATACTTCTCAAAGTTCCAGTCTGCGAGCGTCTCCATCCCATCCTGTCAGAAAAATTAGGAAGATTTTTTTCCCCTTTAAAACTGCAGATAGGAAGTTTAGTATGGTAAAAGAAACATTTAATGTTGAAAATGTTTTTTTTTTTTTTAAGTTTTTATTATTCCATAGTATTTGCTGGCATGAAACCCTGCCTATTCATTGTTGACACAAGACTTGAAAACGACTGGAAAAGTCGTTTTCAAGTCTTGTGTCATGTTTAGACAAGGAGAAGTTATTATCTATGCACACAGGCAAATATGGTTGCTCACTCTCAAAGCTGACACACTGCCCGTAATACCTGTCCTATCTTCTCACCTGCAAAAACTCCAGACACTCCTTGATGTCCTTCACCTCCTCCTGGTAATCTTGGATCATCTTCTCCACCTTCTTGCGGTCCGTCTTTGAATGCACCGTGTCTGTGATGTTGGCCGAAGCGGACGCCACCCCGCCTGCCGTAGCTACGCCAATGCCTACAGCCGTGACGATGAGCGACGTCCCCATTGTGAAGGGCGCCAGAATGAGGCCGGTGATGGTGGTGATCGACCCCGCCACGCTGGCCACACCACCACCAACGCTGGCCGTGACCGTTTTCTTGTGGAAAATGTCAGCCGAGTCGGCCAAAGAGAGCAGCTCCAGGATGCGCTGCTGGAGCGAGGCGCCGCGCTGGTTGAAGAAGCGGACAAAAAGACGGGCAGCCATGAAGACACGATCCGCTGCTTCTTCCACCACTCTGAGACAAGGAAACAAGGACAATATGTTAACTGTTTGTTATGCAACTTTCAGTTCGAAAGAAGCATGTAGATATAGTGAATATAGTGTGATATCAAACTAGATTGTCGGGGTGTTGACCTCTGTGCTACTCTAAAGCAGATTGATAGCTTCAGCAAAAGCGACACTTACTCTTCAGCTTCATCATTCTGGTTTGCCTCATTCCACTCATCCCAGCCTAACACAAAGAAAGCAAACCATTACAACAACTACAACAAAACCAGATCACCAATAAATCACCAACACATAATATTGTAAATATTAAGCATACCCTCCACTGTTTTCCACCACGCTAGAAGGCCATCCTCATCCTGAAAGTGAAACATTTTAAACTCATTGGAGTAATTCTGTATATAGAGGGTAAATTACATGACACAAAACAAACACAAGTGAGGGAAAAAAAAACAAGCTTACATCTAGAGGGTCCAGGACTGTTCCTTCACTGGGCACTGGAACTTCAGCCATCTCTAGTGTCTGAACTTCCACGGTTTCCTTTAACAGAACAATACACTCTTCACAATCTTTGACACGTTTTAGATTACACATGCTTGTAAAATCCCATTGCCACACACTTAACACATATTTCTATTGGCATTAATAGCCACCATTTAATTGTTTTGTCTTTCATTTCAGTGGCTGCCTACATTTTGTAATATTGAAGATATCAACATCCACGAGTGCCAAACAAAACGTTGTTCCAGTGGAAAGGAATGACTCCACATTAGAGTTTAATGACAGGTTAGTACAACGCCTCCAGCAACAAGAAGTTTGCTGGCCTCAAGCCAAAAACCATCAAAGGGATAGAATAGGTAGGCTGTTAACATGTTATTTAAACTCAGAGCTGTCCTTTGATAAAGGGATGAACTTGCCAACAGGATTCCAAGAGAGACGTGAGAAAAGGCTCAATAGCTATCATCTGAAAAAACAGGTTGCTTTACTGAGGCGGGGGTTAAGACAGGACAAAATCTATTCCATCAAAAGGGAGTTGCATGGGCAAATATACACACCCTTTATAAAAATAATAACCATGCCTGGCTTATTGAAGCCGCCGAGTTGACCTATGTATGCTTTTATTTACATGGTTTCATGATACCTCTGAAAAATGGTTTGCATGCGAGTACGTGGCTTGACAAGCACCAACTCTAATTTGCAGTGTGGGGAAAACAGCTACTGCAGTCATCCACCTTTGGTTTTATTTTCTAAACTGCACTTCAATGGATCCATTTATTACTGCACTGAAACTGGACATTGTATCCAGTATGCTTTTGTTGGTTTTATTTTAGTTTAAAGTCTTTTATACCTTATTTAAAGCACTAAGTTGTGTGTTTGACAGGTACTTTACACATAAACCTGGCTTGCCTACTCACCTGAGCAGTGTCAGAGGATGCTGTTCCAGAGTCCTATGGAGCAAAAAGTATTAAGTATATTGAAAAAACCCCAAAACCTCCAATAAAGACACTATGATGGAGAAAATACATAACCATATGCACTATATCATTTTAAATGAAAATATACTCCTTCATTTAGCAATATATTGACTGTATTATGGTTAGTGGTACCTTTGTCCCGGACCCAAACAATGCATTAGGCAGAATCCTCCTTATCCTGAAAGTCTAGAGAAGAAATAAAAGAACACAAATATTACTCTCACACCTTCACAGCCCCCTCAGTAAAAGAGCAGTAACCACATGAGTAACAGTTCAACAAGGGTTTAACCTTGACACATGTATCAGTGCACTTATACTTCCTGTGTTCAGTGGGGTTCATTTGAATGCAGCCCGACCTAGAGCACTGTTTTACATACCCTGGTTCTTTTCTTTGGAGTCTCTGCTGGCTGGCTCTTCACTTCGCAGCTGTTGTTGACATCAGTATACCAAATAGACTGTGGAGAAGTTGAGGGATTAGTTCTTGCTACAGTTTGACTTTGGGGTTTAAAACCATGTGGTGGTTTAAAAACATTCCTCTCACTAAGCTTCAGGCAAGATTTGCTGTGTAGTTTTTCATGATTATTGAGCCATAAGATTTATTAAATGTTTTATTTACTGTTGTTCCTAATGAGTTTAAGGTCACCACAACGGACCTTGTTATTATACACGTATGTTATCACATTTCAGTGAAGAGGATGAGATTAGATAAGTAAGCTTGTCTTTTTCTAGAACGGTTGCGTTGTCTGGGTCACGTCCGACACAGACTAACAACTTCCAATAAAAATGAACAATCATCGTTTAAGTTTGCACACGGTGCACGCCTCCCATGACAGACACCTGGCATTTTCCCCAGGTAGACTGCATGTTTTCATAGTTACATCCGAGTATGATCGCCGTCTTTGTGCAGTAGTAAAATAGAAAGCACAATGGCTAAAGTGTCAGCTTTTGTTATCAGCCATCTTAAAAAACTGTTTGTGTTAGAGATCATGTTTGGTTTATTACAGTTAAGCCCCATAATACAACAACACTTTAACCTGGATCAAGCTTGGAAAAACAGTAGATAAAATGTCTTACATGTCTCTCTATGGTGCTGTCATCCAAACTTTCAGAGCTGGTGGAGTGCTCTCTTTGAATTGTTTTGTTTTCCTGATAAGAAATGAGAAATGGGGTGGAAGGAAAACCATCACGTTTTAAGTACTGTAAACTGGACACTTAAGTTATGAACACTAAGATGAGGATAGTCAAAAGCTTAATTTTAAGAATCTTTATCAACGTGGTCTATGATTATTGCATAATTACCTCTGAAATAATTTCAACTTATTAAGACCTGGAGCAAAAATCCCCATTTCCTTCCAAAAAAATCCCAATAACCGGTACCTGTGTCTTTAATGAGGAAGCAGGAACTACAGAGTCTGTCTGACATTCCTCGTTTGGCATCTGTAGGTGACAGAGGGCAAAATATATGAATGATTAGAAGATCATTAAAGTCCAACATAGACTCGAGGATATTGGTGACTGTAACTGTAACTGAGCAATACTGTGTGATTACAAAATTAACTAAAATAAAAATGTCTAGTTGTAGTCTTAAAGTTATGTTTGTCAACACAAGCATGAGGAGTTGCATGTTTATTGAGCCAGCAGTGTTTTGAGTCAGACATGTTTGTCTTGTACAAATCCTGAGCTTCTTCAGTCTTGCCCTTGACAAATAGCCCCCATTAATAAAACCAACACTGAAAATACTTAACATTTTTAAACAATGTAAACTAACTTAAATTGACACAGTTAAGGGGTTAATCTCGTGCACGGTACCTGTGTGTAAGACTTAAAGGGGTTTACTTTCTGCATCATCCCTTTGAACATCCCGGGGTTCTAAAACAAACAAAAATTACACAAATACATACAGAAAAAAAAAAAGAGGCAATGAAGCAAATACAAGTATATTCATCAAATTCTGTTGCCTATCATTCAGTAGTTGCAAAAAATAAACTCAGTATATGGTATGGTTACATTCAGGGATGGACAAAAACGTAAGTAAGTAAAGAGTAAACTCGAACTCGAAGGTTAGGATCATTCTGAAGATTCAAATTATTTTCTTTGTCACCATCTGGTGGTCGTAGCAAGAATAACACTGGCAGATGGCAATGCTTTAAAATAGCTTCATGCAGTTTAAATGAGCTGCATTGGGAGTATTTACTAAGTTAAAGCTGCAGTAGGTAACTTTAATAAAAATAACTTTGTCATATTTGCTAACTTTCACTGTATCCTGCGAGTAGTACATGAGACAGATAATGTGTGAGAAAATCAGCTTCCTCTGACCCCTCCCAGTGCTCCTAATGGCATTTGCATGAAACCCACCGGACCTGAACGAAAACAACCAATCAGAGCAGATAAAGATAGTTGTTTGTTTGAGTCTCATTCCCAGGTTGTCAAACACCGACGCTGGGAATGAGACTCAACAATCAACTATCTTCAAGCCTACGACCCAAAGTGTATTTCCATCTTTCTTTGCTCTGATTGGTTGTTTTCGTTCAGGTCCGGTGGGTTTCACGCAAATGCCAGTAGGAGCAATAGGAGGAGGTATAGGAACCTGATTTTCTCACACATTATCTGTCTCATGTACTACTGTCAGGATACAGTGAAAGTTAAAGCAAATATGACAAAAAGTTATTTTTATTAAAGTTACCTACTGCAGCTTTAACTTAGTAAATACTCCCAATGCAGCTCATTTAAACTGCATGAATCCATTTTAAAGGCTAGGGGTTGCCTTACTCCATATTAGCTAGCTGACATGCATACGATGTTGACATATTACTTTAATTTTGTTTGCCCAGCACCAACATAATCAGTAAAAAAACAAAAAAAAAAAAAAAAAAAACAGACCTACCTGCTTCTCTGGCACGTTGTTATTATCTGCTAAGCTCCCGTTGCTGGAGGACAGCTCACTGTTTAGAGGCCTGGGGTCCTGGAAAGACCAGATGCAAGGCAGAAAAAAACAATTACACAGCCGATAAGATTTTTTGATCTCCCGAACATCCATTTAGTGTCGTTATCGGTATTGCGACCGGGTACCTTTGGCTGTGAGGATTTGAATGGGTTGACTTTCTGCATCATGCCTGCCATCATCCCTGGATTCTAAGTATTGAAACACACATTGGTTGGACGAGTGAAGTCTGATCAGAACAAGCTGTACATTTATTTAAAAAAAAGTAATTTGGCTCCATGGACTACGCACAGTAGAGCGGACCATGTTTACCTGTTTGCCTTGAAGTTCTTTTCCTGCCTCTGGTGGATCTGCAGAATCATTTTCAGGATCGCTCTTTGGCACCTAAAGCAGGGTAGTCAGGGGGGATCTGTATCTTTAATTATATTTTTCTCACTACTTCACCTCTTAAAATTATTTGCTATATATTTTCTATGATACCTGTGTTGAAGGCTTGAACGGGTTGACTTTCTGCAGCACTCCTTTGAACACACCCGGGTTCTGAAACAAAATCCAAAAGGTAAAACTTTATTTATAAAGCACCTTTCAAAACCAGAGTTACAAGGTGCTGTACGATGCAAACATTATGTAATGTGTGTTAGTTAAGAGTCTAGTGGCCATATTTGTGGAGTGGAGCCGAGAGCACAGTGGCTAAGGGTGGTGAACAGTGAAATACAATAATAAAGACGAGAGGAAACATTATTTTTATAACGTATAATACACCTTGGATTTTGGCAATGTTTCTTATTTTGGAGAAACAGGATTGGACCACTTCCTTTACGTGCCTCTCATGTTGGTCAAACATTCTGAGGTTTTCTTGACATTTAAAGCTAAAGGAACAGCACACTGCTGTTCTCTCCAACTGTTCCCCATTTCAGAAATGTTGATGTAAATATAAAAAGGTAGTTTTAAAATAAAAGATTAATAACCTTAAGAAACCTGATTAAGTGCCTGTGTGTACCGTGGTTTATATTTCAAAGTTAATATATTGTTTTATATTCTGTCTGAGTACATGAAGATGACTCCGGACAAGGGAAATCCTCTTAAAACACCTTTTCACCCACCTGATTAGAGTCTGAAACCCTCCCCTGTTCCAGGGACTCTGAAGATGGAGCTTTTGAGACCTGCGTGAGAAAAACAAGCTGAGTGGCACCTTATTGTCTGACACAGATCCTTCGTTACCATCGTTACCATTACCATTGTAACGTGCTGACAATGCTGCGGTTACCTGGGAGTTAGACTTGAATGGGTTGACCTTCTGCATGACCCCTTTCAGCACACCGGGGTTCTGAAACACAAGATTCAACAATTCAAGCCCTCTAGCCCAGCTTATTCACCTTGTAGCTGTATTCGATTAATTAATAAGGCACTAAATCACCTAATATGACTAAGAAAACCATCCATACTGCGGGGTTCTACAACACAAACAGGTTCAAATGGTGCTGGTTCATACTTTGGTACAGGTTTGTACACTCTGTGCTTTTACAATAGAGCTGTAATAATGCGTCTTGGCTTTTTGCCACTTTTACATCACTTCCACTCGAGATTATTTTCTGTTGACTGCAACGTTGGAATGACTCATGATGGAGCTCGGGTTAATCTTTTTGCTGTGACTACTGATGTTATTCAGTTCTCAGATCGTAAATTAAACTGCTATTAGATCTCCTATTGTCTCACATTTGTCAGAATAAAGGAAGAAAGTGACAAAAATGACATAACTAAACACACAATCTTGACTCTTACATGAGTCAGGTCAGAGTTTAGAGGAGTTGCCTGCTGTAAATGTTGTCTAGAACCACTAATATACGACAAAAAATATCAGAAATCTGTCTGTTCTGTTTGAGTTCTTCTCACCTGTGTGGAGTCTTTTCCCTGTTCCAGAGATTCTGAGGAAGGGGCTTTGCTGACTGTGGAGGGGGCCTGGATACAGAACCAAAGTTTAATCTCATCATTTCACATTAAGTTTAACTCATAACGCTTACTGTTTAATGTGGACATGTTTTACCTGCGAGGTAGACTTGAATGGGTTGACCTTCTGCATAACTCCCATCATCCCACTCTTCTGATGTTTATACAAAACAAACAGATTAATTATGACAGACATACATCAAATTTCCATATAGATTCGGTAAAAACAAATACCTCTAACATGGTGTGCACAGATACACAAACCACAGCAAACCGAAGACGCTGGGTCAGGTTGAGGGTGCATGTGAAACACTGTTGTTTTCCTACAATAAGTAATTACATTGAAAATGTGGTCGGGCAACTCTGTGTGAACATTCACCTGCGAGGCCGCCGTCACTCCTGCGTCCTGTTGGCTCAGACTGTGCGTGATCGGGTTGTCTAGCTCCTGGCGATGAATGACAGCTTCAGTTAACAGAGCAGGTACATGTAAACAAACAAACAAACAATGCAACCAACCTCCATCACTCTCTCTCTTACTCTACATACCTCCTTGCTGGGTCTTGGTGGGACCACTGGAGTTGGGGCTGTGGAGCCTTTATCTCTTCTGAACATGTTCATGCTGAAATACATGGTGTTGTGGTGAGGCAAGAACATATGGCTCTAATTAACCAAACTGACAGTCACATAGGCCATGCTGCTTTTTATTCTAAAGCTGCCAAGGTCGTTGCTGCAGTCTTTTCTCAGGTTAGACCCACACACTAAATTCCATTACATTTTTTGACAACTTAAGGTTGTTCTGTACAACTTGTCAACTTGCAAAAGTTGTTCAGTATGAGTTCAGTGTTTTTGTAAAAACACCTTTTAACTGGAAAAGTCGGTTCATATCATATGCACCATACCGCCCATCTTGAGAAATATTTCCACTTTATTCAAGTCTCATCACCGGCTAGCGCCCACTCGTGGTGAAAAAGACTGAGTGAAATGCGTGCAAGCGTATTATCAAAGTTACGGTGTAGTGTAACGTGTGATGTTTTGTTGAAGAGGTTAATGCCGAATTGAAAAGTGTGTCCAACTGGAGTGGAAATGAGTCTTGAAGTCGCTCTCCGCAAAGCGTAACTTAGCAAACAGGCAACAAACCTTTAAATTGGCCGAATTTTGAACACAGTTTGGTCTGTGTCACAAAAGACCGTCGCATTCAGTTCACAAACAGTAGCGTACATTGTGTTTGCCACTACAGAGGAATGTGTGGCAACACAAAACGCCAGCAACAACACAATGAAACGAGCACGGTGCCTACCTCAGTGTTGACAGAAAAAAACAAAATGATAATAAAAAAAAACGCTGGGTTGCAAAGCAACAACAGAGAAGTCAACTTGATTTAAAAGTTAGACAACAAGTTCTTTACTTCCCCTTCATCACGCGGAGACGTCAGACTGGTTTAGCAGAGAGTGAGGCGGACCTCCCCGGCGTTGGGTTACTGAGTGCCGGTGCCGGGGACTCCTGCCTGCTCTCGTATCAGGGGAAGTTTCAGTATAAAGGGCGAACAATGGACGGGTTCACAGTGACAGTGGGGTAGTTTTCAACACACCCTCAGAGCTGTGCATACTTTGGGAAAAGAGCATCTCATGTCCTCCTTTAGATCACCTGTGTTACCTGTCCTGCAGGGGCGTGGCCTCTTTCCTCTGGGACTTGTTTTGTTCCATGGATCTTGTAAAGGTGCAGTGCCAATAAAGCTGCTGTAGGGCTCCTGTTGACCTCTGCACCCTTATTCTTTATTTCTATTTATTTAAATTTGTTTCACACTTTAGTACCTAATTTATTCCTTTAAGAATTGTATATTAAAAGGTTTGATACTGTCCTCCTCAGTATGGAGGCAAATACATAAATCAAACATATACAGCGTGTGTATTACTTTGAAATTATTACAGAATACTTGACACTTTTATTAGTGGAATGGCACTCACGATAGTGTCATTCTTAAAATCTGTATTTGGGAATTCCTTTATGTATTTATATGTGGATACCAGAATAGTTTTGATTACAGGGTAAACAAAAACACAGAGGTACAGCTGCTCAGTGTAAAGTGACACAGGCTAGAAGGCTGGGAACATCACCTAAAGGCCACACTGGCAAACAGACTTTATTGACAGACTCAGTGTTCGATTCACCCTTTACAGACACATTCTGTTCAGGATTGTCCAGTAAGACCAAAGGTGGCCGTAATATTTCACAATTAAAACATACAGTGATAGAAATCTTTATGCATTCACAAAATATTCACTTATATAATAGTTAGCTTTGAGTTTGACAGTTAAATACATTATTATAGAGGCACATATAGGTTAAAATAATTCAGGCATATCTGACAGTATTTACATGGATGCCAAAACCGTCTCCAGTTTTGTTTTGTACAGAAAATAGAGGGAACAATAACATGGATTCTTCTTCCAAAATACAGACGCTTTAAATGTTTTTCTAAGCCATTCAGGCATCCAATAACACATTTGTGTGCCATCATTTTACACAGTTACATGTATGGCTTTAAAAGCAGAAATACCTAATACTTAAGTACACCAACAGACCTGCAACATAAAGCTGTGCATCAGCAAACCACAACCTACAGTTCAATTATATACAATCATTACTTAGCTGTTTAGTAGATTTGTGTTCTGAAGCAATGCCATGCAGCGATATATGAAAAATAAATTACCCTATATACAACATTCATTTTGTGAACATGGAGCATTGTCACATTTTCTCTTTAAAAAACACTTAAAACAGGATAGCTTTATAAAATGACCTAAATGAAAAGTGAGCATTTACAAACATAATCCTGTTGGTAAATGAATATAGTAACTTTAATTCAACAAAGTAAAACTCAATTTTAACATTCAAATCTAACTCTAGAAGACAATGCAAGTACCTCTTTTGTCTGCAGTTTCCTCTTTATGAACTACCAATATAAACTGATATCTGATACAGGGGTTGAACAAGAGAAGGCTGTGCTGACTATATAATAAAATATAATAACCAAACAAAAAATACTTGCTGTATTTTGATTGCATTATATTTTGAAGTGCACCCGTTTATAATTTCCATTTCATTTTAAGCCATCTGTGACCACAAAGCTACATTGTGATACACCTTATATTTAAACCTTTTACCCAGATAACAACATACAGTGCACAAAGAACGGTGTCCACTTCCCTGTTATTTCTACCAGTCCCCGTGTGTACAGTAAACTTCTTTACAAATAATGTAAAACGAATACAACAAAATAATTTACAGCATCAAAGGTAACCAGAATTTAAACAACACCTCTCTGCCAAAATCACAACAAAGTAATGACCATTATTAGCTTCACAGTGGTTGTATATTTACAGGACTAATGTCATATATTGGAATATACTGTAAATTGTTTAAACTTCTTATAAAAATGTCCACAGTCTGCTAGTTTAAGAAAACTCATGTTAAAAATATCTGAAACTTACTATCACAGGTACTGATGTGCTGGGCCCATGAATTCCTTTAAAATCAACAGTTCCCTCATTTAGCCAGGAGAGGGCGTTGGAGTTCTATGAGAAACAACTTTGGTCAAAGTGGCATCACACATGATGTTACTCAGATGCTTCCAGTAGCATCCTGGAGCTCCTCCCTGATGGTGTTGAGCTCCACTATCCCATCATTGAGCACATTTGCCACCCCCTTTATTTGACCCACCACCTCCTTCTTGCAGCCTTTCTTCAGCTCTCGCGAGTCCTTGATGAAGTACTTGTCCATGCCTTTGAAGAGTCCTTGGACCGAGGCAACAGCAGCGTCCGTTATCTCTGTCGCCCGCATCACAGGCGTGTCCACTAAGCTGATCATCTGGACGGCCCTGCGGATCTCCCAGTCCTGCGAGTAGTGCTGGGTGCCAGACCTGAGGAAGGGATGGCCACGGAGTTTGTACAGGCCCTGATTGATAAAGTGGAGGATCTTTCCAATGTGCAGCAGGTGAGCTTCATACTCCTGCAGTACTGTCTCCACCTGGGGAAGGAGAGCGACAGGCCGCAGTCTTTGGTTAAACACTAAAACAGTCGATGGTGAGTTCAAGCACAAAATGAGACGGGGTGTCAAAGTCAAGTGCTTTCAACCGTTTGCAGCGTTAAAAGAGCATTGCACTATAATGATCTATTCTAGTGAAGTGCTGGCTCAAAGGCAGACATAAAACTTAATAGAACAGGAAAGCTGCACACTCCTAACTCTGATGCATTTATTTCAACTAATAAAGATTCATGTTTCAGGACACTCAAGAGGCTGAAACGTTGATTTGTATTCTTTTTTTGATAAGAAATGTTGCCCAGAGGCAGTTTACCTTCTTCCGGTCTTGCATGTTGTTAACATTATCCGAGATGGCCGCAGAGGCTGAAGTGATTCCGCCAGCCGTTGCCACGCCCACACCAACAGCGGTAATTATGAGAGAGGCGCCAAAGGTAAAGGGTGCCAACGCCAAGCCGGCGATGGCCGTCGCACCACCCACAGCTGTGGTGGTGCCACCGGTGATGCCGGCGATCTTGGCCTTCTGGTGGAAACTGCTGATGTCGTCTGCGATGGCGTGGAGCGTGATGATGGAATGCCAGAGGACCTCAGCTCGCTCTGTGAAGACCTTGTTGAAGACGCGCAGCCCGCGATGAACCTTGTTCGCCAAGTTGGTGAAGGACCTGGGATTTATTTGGGAGCCAAAGAAACGTTATGCTCGGTAAGTACAGTAAGGAGGAAGCAGCACCGTAAAATGTAGTTCATGATACTCACTCACTGACTTTACTTTAGGAAAGACCAGTTCAAAAAGGAGCTACATTTTCTAAATAATACAATACAAAGTAGTCAGTTTTAATCTTTAATGCCAATCATCCATTATTATGGCAGATTTTTTTTTGTTTGTCTAGTTAGTCACATTTAGGAGGATCTACTGGCGGGAAGGGAATATAATAGGTACGTTATGATCGCCTGAAAATAAGAATTGTTTCATTACCTTAGCATAGGCTGTTTTTTTTATCTACAGGTCTATCTAGCTACACTAACCCAGAACATAAGTACCAAAGTAAAGTATAAGTACCACCTGGCTCTAGATATGGCCTTTAGTGACCACCGTAGTTTCTACTACAGGCTTGGAAGCCTGAGCTTTATTTAAATAGCAGCAAACTGCAACTTCACCACTAGATGCCACTAAATCCTACACACTGGTGCCTGTGCCAAGTGCTGTCTGTATCTGTGTTGGCACAGAGTACACAAATACACAGTGTGGTGAACATTTAGGTACAGCTGCAACTAACAATTACTTCTTTATCAAATCTTCCCATGTGAGAAGCTAGAACCAGCTAATGTGGGTATTTTTGCTAGATCAAAGACTGAAATGATGAACTGATTTTGAAAAGATTTAGAGATTATTTTCTTTGTTGATCCACAAATAGAACACCGTGTTGTTTCAGGTCTAAATTTAGTGCGACTTTTCCCTCTGCACTCAGTTATCTGATTCATAACACTCGTAACTACTACCCTCCAGCACACTTCATTTAAACAGACGTACCTGGACTCATCCTCTTTCAAGACTTTGTCCTCATCATCTGATGGCACCTCATCCCATTCTGGAACACAATCAACAAACCACTGTTAATGAAGTAAGAAGTTCAGTTATCTGAATCTGCTGCTTTAATGAAGTCTGACTGTGACTCACGTTCCACTGTGTGCCACCACTCCATCAAACTGTCAGTGTCCTGTGACACAAAAACAAAACAAAAGCATGTTGGTTCATACCTGGGTGGTACACTACTAGAAGAGAACATTATTCGCTTGCATACACAGGAAATGTAGTGGTGATGTGGAACATTTCTGTTTAACAATTTTAAAGAGAAACTGACCCCTTCCTCGTCCTCATCCTCCATTCCTGCTATAGCTTGCTCATCCACTTGAGCAGCCAGCCACTCCGCCTGAATGAGGGCAGAGGGGAGGACAAAAATAAGCCAGTGAATACATCAATAGGTTTTTACTACCATATTTACATAGATTAGTCATCAGAAACCTGCCTTTATTTAACCAAGGCCTTTGTATATATTAAGATTTTTCTCTGCACTAGTTGGTGTATCGGCTGGTATGTGCGCTATGTTGCTGGACCGGACCAGTCACATGTCAGAGGAATGTGTCCCATCAGGAGCACAGAAGTGAAGATAACCAACAGTGGAAAACAACAAGATTTCAAAATAGTTTCTCAATAGTTAACAGAAGGTAAACAAAGTGCACCTTGTATAAATAATTCCAGATGATCTTTTGAATGACAAATTATTTTTATTTTATTTTAACTTAATCCTGTTTACTACTGACTCTCAGCTTGAACAACAAGGCTCTGTGAGAATACTACAATCCTGATTAAATAACTCCTTAGTGTACAAAACTAAAATAGGTATTCAATTGGTTTTCCGAGACGCACATAAACGCTTTAGGAAACAATGTCTGCCACACAAAACTCGTCATTCTCTCAAAAACTCCAACATATTCACAGACATCAGTGATGGATAAGACAGTAAATGAATACAGTACTAAAACAATATTATACTGCAAATCGGATCAAAGAGGAATTTTCTCCAGGCTAGGCAGGGCTGACACACTGGAAAATTCTAGACCAAAACAAAATGTGTTATTAAAGTCAACAAAGTTTTAAGAGGTGTGTTGCTATGTCACAAGTTAGTTGCACAATGGTGAACGAAGCAAAGCTGTGGGAAAGTGACCCCAGTGAAAACTGGTTCATTGATTAGAACATCCATGCTAACCGGTTTGAACCAAAGATAAAGAAGTTATTCTAAGGATTAAATAGAAACTATTTTGATACTAATCGCTGTCCAAAGAATCTATAATAAGATCAAACTTACCTTAGCAGCCTCTGACAGGTAGTCACTACACGTAGCTCCTGGTGGATCTTCATACTCTGGATGCATGGCTTTGCTCTGTTGTGACAAGGACATTATGAAAAGTGAGCATGCAGACAGCAATAGGAGCAAAATCCCTATTTCCTCGTGTGATTAGAAGTAAGTTAGAGTGCACTGATTCACCTTAGCCTTGTGTTTTCTGAGACCTTTCAGTTTAGATGACTTCTTCTGTTTAAAAGAACAAATGTTTGAGAATTATAGATTAAAGTAACTGAAAGTAAAGCAGTAACAGTGAACATGAGGTTGACAAAAATACCGGTTTGCAGGTTTCCAGTTCATCTTGTTCGCTGTCAGACATCTTTCCATGACCCATGATATCTTTTCCTTTTTGAGTAATGTGATCCTCAGCAAAGGCATCCTGAAAAAAAGCATGTCAGAAAAAGAGTTGCAGAAAACAAGTTCAAGTGGTTTATATTTTAACATTGCCCCAATATTTATGCATGAAATCAACATTAAACATACACTGAATGCTTGCTGAGGCATGTGGTGGCTGAATTCAGCTGGTTCCGTCTTAGATTTGCGTGGGATAGGAACAGGGAAGCCTTTTCGTGTGGATTTTTTCTGACAGAAGAAACAAAAAATGATTGTGTGTGTTAATTAAAGCTTAGGACCTCATATGCCCTAGGGAGGAATAAAAAACAGCAAGCATCTATCTTAGTGAAGGGTTTATACTTCTATTCACAATGAAAGACATCCAGCACAATCATGCATTTAACAGCACAAAGACTTAATTATAATAATTCTATCATTTTCTCTATTGTTGTTAATCTGTTCTGTCAAAATCATTGGTGCCCTGATTGCCCTTTTCACTGCGTCACATGGTGTTTCTACAAAGCAGTTACACTGTGCTTCTAGCTGTTAGCTTGTTACTGGTGCCATAGTTACAGGTTTGGTTTCAGATATAAAAATACCGGTTTGCAATCCTCCATCCCGTTCAGCTCGTCATCGTCTAACTCCTCTGCTGAGAAGCTGCTCTTCTTTTTACGAAGACCGTCATCCAGCATGTCCTCCTAATAAAAAAACATTCAGACACATTTATGAAAAACACAAATTAAGTAAAATTATTTATTCCCTTGCAAACATTTCACAGAAACATATTTACCTTAGAGCTCCGACGACCCTTGTGCAGTAGTTTCATCTTTGTTGATTTCTTCTATAGATGAAGGAAAAAAGCCCATTAGGTGAAAACTAGCGACAAACTGTTAATGAAAAACTAACCTATTAAAAGAAAATAAAGTTACAGGTTTGCAGTCTTCCATTCCGTATGAATCTTCATCTCCATTAAATCCAGCAGACATATGGAGGCTTTTCTGTAAGTGCTCATCATCCATGAAAGCGGCCTAAGTAACATTCAAAACAACCATTATTCCTAGAAGGTAAGTCAGGAACACTAATGACCACTATCATATAGGTTACAATGAAAACAATGCTGCATGGATGAATATAGTTATTTTTAAAAGCATAAGTCAAGTCTGCAAATGACTACAGCATAATCACATTAAAAAATATATACGTTTGCTATGTCAAACAACATACAATGGTAATACTAAGAAAAATACCTTGCTAGTTGACCGAAGACGTTGGGCTTTCAGCTCCTCTACATCCTCAAAATCATGATGTAATTCATCCTTAGTGAAAAGTCAAATAAGTATTACAGTAGAACTTAGACATAGAGGACCAAGTTGTTTGAGAATGAAACAAGTAATGGAGTCATGCCATGTAATGTCAGTGAAAAAATGTACAATAAATAGTTGCTAACTGCTACACAACTGAGTAAGTAAGTCATAAGTCCAAAAGTGATTCACAGGAAACATAACCCCCAACAATATTAGACAAAGAGGTAACTAATTAATGAGTCATTGTCCTACAATGTGCAGTTTGTTGTTTAAATGTTGAGTTAACTGAAGGTGACTGTTACCTGGGACTTCTTATGAGGTGTGTAGCCATGTGCACCTAAAACTTCATCATGTGATTTCTCCTGAGGGAAAAACAAAATTCCAAACATGTCAAGCACCTAAACCATCCTCATACCACAAATACAACGTGCGAACAAAAACACATGCTGTACAAACCCGCTATACTCAAATGTATGCAGTCGTACCTTTGAGCCTTTGCGAGGTGTGTATCCGTGTGCGCCCTTCAGCTCATCATCAGTCTGGAGAGAGAAAGTTTTAACATGACACACATTCACTAAGGTGTGAACAAATATGCTGTGAAATAGCAAAGTATTAATTACAGTAGAGGTGAGATACCTTGACAATGGCAAATCCTCTCTGTGGCACAAACTTGATTGTTAATTTCTTTTTTCTCTTCTGTAGAGAGAAAAGATCAGAATGCCCATATCAAAATTAGCATCTACATATTACAACTAGGAATTAGGAATATTGCCCTAACATGGTAACATCTTAGCATTGTTGTGCACATTACTGTTCGTCATTACTCAAAGTATAACAAAAGCGTACAAATCCATGGTCGTCAACCTCTCCGTGCTGGGTTTCCCCTCCCTCCTCCTCCTCACCAGTGCTGTCATCCAAAACAGTCCCCTGTTGACAGTAAAACACTGCATCAACAACTGTATCATGTTAACTGTTTAAGAAGACTAGCAGTTGTATTTAAGGAACAAAAGCACGTAAAACTACTTCTTCCCATGACTATCAAATAACTATTGGATATAAATATTGAGAAAATAACCCCAATCCATTACTGATTTTATTGATTTAATGATTCTTACTTTCTGTCTGTCCTTTCTTTACAGCACAGAAATGTAAAAAAGCATTTTGGTGAGAATTTGAGCAGCAAAAGCTCAAGATATTTTTTAGAAATGAAGGTTAAAACCTTTTTCTTATCCTCTTGCACACTGTCTGAACTGATCCTTGAACTGGATCCAACCAGTTTAATAAAACAACTTTACCTCTGACCATCTGCGTATGGAGTTTTTCTTTCCAACGCCTTTCTTATTGTTGCCATCATCCTGTTGTGGAATTAAGAAAATCACAACGGCAGTATTGATAAAAGAAGTAATATTTATGCAAGCTTTTCAGACAAACTATAATATAGCTGGAATGTGTTGGTTTGCTTGTATAAAACTTCCATGGCAGATTCAGAAGAATATGTCCAGACAAATATACTTCAAATAACTTACCCTGGATTTTTGTAAATGTCCGTTCATGTGCTTTCCCTCTGGCACGGAGGAAGTAGTGGATGCTCTTCTAAGCAGCTGATTGACTTTGGTCTTTAGATGTTTCTTCTGCTGACAAAAGAAGACATTGTTAAACCACCACCGGATCATTTACTGCACATAAATACTGATTCAGGATAGTGTACAAATAAACATACTTTGTATTCCATCCCATAGTGCTCCCCATCTTCATTCTCTCCTGCAGACGTGTGTAGATCTGAAAGATATTCCTGAAAAAACAGAAGCATTTGGAAACACAGCATTTAATGTGTTTACAGTATGGCAAGCAGCAGGTGAATTGTCTTCAAATGTTGGAAAAGCGTATTGTCAATCCAGTTCTTTGGCTGGCTGTGTGGCATGAGAGTCAATAATTATAATACAAGACTATATTCTGAACTTTCTTCAGTTTGCTCCTTTCCTTCGAATGTATTTGTACTACCTCTCAATCTCTCTGTATCTAAAGTCACCATTTAAAACTTGTAAAAGATCACCCGGTCCCTTCAGATGCAATAATCCTGATAACAGAGCTGTCTTTTTCGTGTAGGGAAATGTTAACAGTAGGCTTGCTGACACATGCTCACATGATTTATATTTGATTCCAGACATTGTTACCTTTGATGATTTACGTGAGGTGGGTAGTGTCCTGCTCCTCCCCTCCTTTATGTCATCAGGTAACTTATCCTACAAAGAGAAAATACTAATATTATAAAGACAAGCTTGCAAACACAATATTAGCAAATAAACTGTTTTGCATGGCTTCATTTACCTTTGACGATCTTCTGGAAAGTAGGGACATTCCGAACTTTCTGTCCTTTTTCTGTCAAAGAAAAAAAAGGATGTTAGACTAAATACTGGATATACTGATAACAACCACAGAATGCGTAACAGTGATTAAAGAGGCAGACTGTCCGATAATACCTTGCTTTGACCCCCAGAGCCGTCCTGATCCTCGCCACTTCCTCCATCGGAATCCGCCTTTGTCTAAGAGAAAGGTTAGATTTATTAGTCTTTGGGCTTACAAATAAACAGTGCTAACTAGATAAATTAACTGTCTCTTACTTTCATTGATTCTCGCCGTAGTCTCAATGTTCCAGACTTATAGAGAAAAACATAAATAAATAAATAAATTAGCTGAGAACAATGTTGATAGTTTGAAGTGGTATGTGATGAAAGAATTGCTTTTTTTATGTTTTCTTACTGGTTTGAACTCGGGGTTAAGCTCAGGGCTGTCTTCAGGCCAGTCTTCAACACACCTTTCCTGTTTTGGGATTTTAGTAAAGGAAACATTTATAGACATTTTTTCATAATATTCTAACATACAATGTATCCATCCTTTTTCCAGAAGAGATATATTGATTCCATTTTTCATCATTTTTCAGCCACTATCAGACCTTTAGACTTAAGACTCAATCTTCTAATGATGCTTCTTTTCCCTAAGAAATTGATTAATAATTGATTTACACTTACAGAACTCATACATCTTGTAAATTATATTGAAAATCACTTTCACTCAAAACACACCTGTCCAATAAGCAGGATGTCCTCAAATACGGCATAGTTCTCCTGGTCCATCGGTTTACTTGCCTGTAAACAAGAAATAATTTAAACATGCCCACAGAAACAGCTATGGAGAACCTTACATTGTTCCTCATGAGATATCTGGGGTAATATCCTAGAACATACTGTTGCCTAAGTTAATTAAGGCAACTAATAAGGTAAAATTTCAACACCATGTGTACCTCGGTTTTTGGTTTGCTGTGAATAACTGGTTTTGGGAGGGGTCTGAAGAATGGTTTAGGAGACGTTTTTGGCACAGGTGGTTCAGGTTCAATCTAAACGTAGAGACAAACACAAAGAAGCAAATTAACCACACAGGAGTTACGGTAGCAGAGAAATTATTAAGTTAAACAACCAGACATGCTAAACTGTGTTTTGCATACAGGGTTTGCTGGTGTAAGTGGCTTTTCTGGTTTTGGTGGCTTTTCTGGTTTTGGAGGCTTTTCTGGTTTTGGAGGGTTATCTTTCCTTGGTGGTTTCATTCGGGGAAGAGGCTTTGGGGGACGTCTGAAGGTCGTTACCTGCAAGTTTAATTATCAAAGAAGGTATTAAACCCATGTCATATAAATCATTATATCAGTGTATCAATATTTATAGCAATTTGTTGACTAGATGAACCATACAATACAGTAGGATGCATGCACAATTTAAAGTTCAATCTATGAGCATTAAATGTTGATTTTATGGTTGTCCAAATATCAAATGGCACTTGTAACATACATGAGACATTTCAGCTGGAGACCGGCTTGAGTACATGGACAGGTTACTGGCCCGACTGAAAGGAGTCGGCTGAAGAATATCATGTTTAGTTCCCTGAGGAGTCGTCAAGACAATATCATGTGGCCCGTCAAAAGACTTTGGTTGGATGGCTGGGGGAGTTCCTGTTGGCATTGCCTTGAAGAGATCTGGTGAAGACGATAGCATGTCCAACTTCATTTCTGACGGACTGCTGAGTGAAGGTGTAGAGTCTGTGGCCTTAGAGGCTGTATTACTCGGGGTCATCTCATATATATTCGTGCTGTTAGCCTTTGAGGAAAGCGGTTGGAAGATGTCTGGAGTCCCATTTGAAACATCTTGGAAAGGGTCGTATTGTTTTGAGAGAGGAGTACCAAATGGGTCATCCAAACTGGAAACGTCTTTGAATAAATCCTTTGTAATTGGACTCGGGAATGGGTCGAATGTAGCTGTGGATGAAGAAGAAAATACTTCCCGATTTCCCTTAGAGGACATGCCAAAAAGGTCTTCTATGGTAGAGGGATCTTGTTTGTTTTCCCTGGTCTGGAAGAGTCCCTCACTATTAGCTGGAACTGCCTGAAACAAATCTGCTTCATTGGTTTTGGCAGTATGAAATGGGTTTGTTGCCTTAGGCTGTGGAGACCGGAACAGATCATCCTCCTTGTTTGAAGGAGATTTGAATGGGTCTACAAAAACACTGGGAGATTTATCAAAGATGTTCACCTCCCTAGTGCACTCAGCATGGAGCAAATCCTCTCCTGTAGCAGCCTGGAAAAGACTGACCCCTTCATCTTTAAACAGGTCAGAGCTTTTTAACTGCAAGGTTTTGGAGAGGTTCTGGGTTTGAGTGGGAAGTGTCTTAAATAAGTCTGGTGAGTTCAGGGTCACGTCATGAAAATGGCCATTGGCAGGTGCGTTCTGGGCCGATGCTGATGCCTGGAAGTGGCCCTTGGTACAGTTGGGGGTAGGGGCTTGGAACAGGTCCTTTTGAGGTTCAGAAACGTTGGCTCCATTTTCCACAGTCTTAATTTCAGTTTGAAGATCCAGAGGTGAACTCTGAAATTCAGGCGGAGGGATGAAGATGGTATTGAGTTTTGCTTCTGAGGTTTTCCTCCCTTCGTCCTCCATCACAGGACTTTTGCTGCCCGATTCCTGATAACAGAACACAGAGTCATAAAGAATGTATTCAATGACAGTGATGGTACTTGATAATGGGATCTGGTTTTAAAAGCAGATATCCTTGTACATACCAAATGATATGTGTAAAAAGGGTTCATTGTGGTCAAATCCCCATTGTCTCCATTCTAATAAACAAAGAAAGGGAAATGACACATGAGACCAAGAAGTGTTAGATTTCATTGGACTGCAGACAGAGTTCTCAAGTGGAGTTAAACTGGCATCTAAAAACATACCCGAGGGCTTAAATGGTGCGGTTCCTGCACTCCATTCTGAAAGAATTAGATAGTGACACAGCAGAAATGTTACTTGTTAAATAATTATCGGGGGATGGGGGTGCAAATAACAAAAAAATAAATTAGCAAAATATGTAATTAACTTTTTGTCTCAAGGACTGGTCAAGACAAAATATTCTATCTTCCAAAGTAATTCATGTCATGATATTTTGTTTTAAGGTTTGGATGCTGATTTTTTTTTTCCTTTCTATTTTCATTTATATGGCTACACAATAGTGTAGGTGAACTGTAGGGACTGAAAAATGTTTAACAAAAGCTCTTAGTATCTTTTCAGAAAAGTCAGCAGCTAATGTGGCAGACGTTGCTGCTCTTGTGCTCCATTTGTAAATTTCAGACTCACGACTTATTAAGTCTAGTCAGACTGCTTATGCACAAACACACCTAGATGTTGCAGAGATCTCACAATAACAGGTAGCCACATTGTACTTCAGAGATACAGGGTGTGGATCTAACCTTTGTCACAGTAGGAAGATGATGATTATCCTCCATCTTCACACCGTTCCAGGCTCTTACCCCCAACTGTACGACAAGGACAAGGAAGATTTGTGTTAATGAAAATGTGAGCCTTAATTTTAACCATGGCTTTATGAATTCTGAATTAACACACTATTGTTAACTTAAAAGTGACCCCATTTCATGTGGCAAAATTGAAGCATTTCTGCTAAATCTCGGCTGTAATTTCTCTGAGTTGTGCCATATGTCGTTCTTGCAGATGTTTCTTCTCACCTGGTCTAAGTGGAGCTGGTGGTTGTCGGTCACATCTGTAGCAGCAGATGAGAGATCAGTAAGGAACTCACCATCCTGTGGACCACACAAAAGTTTATGATGCTAAACCAACAACAAAACTTATTTACAGAGGCAAGCATGGGAAGTCACGCATGTTGCTTGTCACGCATTTCGAGTTGCTGAGATATGGAAGTCATGTGTTGCATGTCAGTTATGTAAACAGAAATATGAAAAGATACAGTTAGCATTTCTACACCAGTTGTTGGGTTTCCAGCAACTAAGAATGTATGTTTTTGCTGCTACCGCTGTGTAAAAATACACTTGAAAATAAGTATGGCTTTTCAACAAAGATCCCCAACCTGCACTTTTGTGTGTATGCAGAGCTGAAAGCTGTTGTTATCGGTGGTCTCTAACCTGTTTGTTTTGAGACTCGTTCGCAACTGATCCACTGGAGTCAGAGGTTGATGATTCAAGAGTCTGAGAGGAGAGACGTAGAGAAAAACAAATTACATTCTCATAAAAGGAAGCTAATGTATACGTTCCTTTTTTAATATTCATCCACAAACTGGAAAGGTAGGTCAGGAAACACCTACTAACTCTTTCACTGTATTTAGGCTGAATGGGAATTAGGTGTGCGTTTGAGTTGTAAAAACAAAGTGGATGTATCTGGCAGTCTGTCATTTTGTACTCTGACTAAGTGTGTTTGTGTGTGTAGCCACTCACCTTGTACTGATTATGGAAAGGGCTTTGGGAAACCTTCTTCAGCATATTTTGTAGCCTCACAAGACTCTGAAGACACACAGAAAATCATCAACCACCCACTTTTCTTTGATGTCACTGTGAGCATATCGGGCCTAACCAAAATATCCACATTGTTCAAGTCATAACTTAAAGAAGAGAATAATGTTTTGGGTCTACAACATAGGTACAGAATTGAGGCCTGTTTTATTTCTGATGACACAGTGCAATCAACTCATATGTAGATCCATGTTTGGTTGAAACAACGCTAAAAAGGCTAAACAGAGCTCTAATTGCAGTGTGCACACACTTTTCTATTTTATTATAGTAGGTTAAATTAGACATAGATGAGTGTAAATAACTATTATACCGTTTATACTATACTACTACTCGTTCTCATCTCCAGAGGTGGAATATAGCTTTCCTGTACAGAAAGTACATTATTATGAGATACTGGTTGTATTGTAAAGGATACCTGCTGTACTTTTTATTCCACTGTATTTATGTGAAGGTTTATTTTTTAAGCAGGTTGAGGATTCACATTCAAAACATGTTCAAAGTACTCATTATTACATGAATTAGTCAGATATAGCATCATAAACACTGAAATGCAGAAGTTTCATTGAGAATTAGTAGGCTACTGTTGATGCCTTCATATTAAATAAAATGTTATGTTCCTGAATTCCTTTAGTTTTGTACTTTTTAACGCACAGAGAGAAGCCACAAGATGAAGTCACTCTGCAGTATGACAGGAGCAGATTCTTTCTGTTCTGTACTGTGTTCAAAAACATCAATCACAGACATGACAGTGCTAAATGCATACAGAACAGCTGACATAACAGTCTGGGTTTGGCAATCCAGTCTGTTTGACTTGACATACATGGCAACAAACAGTGTACCAGCAGCACAGAGAAACAAACAGCCCTACATGTCCTGAACTGATCAGGTAGTTTACCTGTTTGTGGATGAAAATGTGAAATATGAAACACGTGGAAGAGGAGGACGGAATTTAGGCACTGACTACGGTGTTTTCTGGCATAAATGAGAATCAAACACGAACAGAGCCACCATTAAAAACTACAACATCTCTGATAAACGCAATTTATTTGTTATTTTTGAAGGACTCACAGGTCGTCTTTCCCCAGATGCAACCTCTGCTGCTGCACTCTCGTCCGCCTCCACCTCGTTCCCCTAATAAACATTAATATTAGAAATAGAGGTAAAATAACAAAAAAAAAAAAACTTATTTCAAACATTCAAACTATTTTAAAACGTCTCCCAAAACGCTAAAATTAGCTTGCATTTTTAGCAGACTGTTAACTCGAGATTTATTTTATTAACAACTCATGACTTACCGTAGTTGTATCTTCCCTCATGGTCAATGAAGTTTGTTTAGCATTTTACTATGAATTAAAACCAAAAATGTTTTCTAACGGGTGACATTTATGGAAGAATATATGAATGTAACGTTACTTTTGCATTAAAACGCGTCCTCGCGACTGACAGCGCTCACGTTGTTAATTATCTCCCCGTTTGACTCACCTGTGTAAAGCCGGCCGCGAGGGATACCGAAACGTCCGGAAATTAGATTTTCAAAATAAATGGCTTTACCTGCGCATGCTCAGTCTCGCTTCGGCCGTTTATTTCTGGCTTGAGATGCTGCGATTAGAAGGGACCTATTTAAAGCCATCCAGTTAAATTGGATGTTTTTCATATTTAAGTAATTTTATTAACCATAAGATTTACTAATCTTTAAGGCAGTCAGCATATTGCTGCATTTTTTGTATTTATTTCATGCAAAGTGATCTACAGAGCAGTGATTTACAAACAATTACAAAGAATCAACATGACTAAAACTAGGATGTAGAGGTCTTGGTCTAGGTCTAGGGGTAATTTCCTAAAAACAATTTCTTATGAAACCAGTGAAGAATCTGCAATCGCCACTGTTTCTGAGGCCCTTTACCATAGGACTTAATATGGGACCCGGATGTGAGAAGATTCCATTATTAACAATTGTTCTATTCAACTTTACTTAAAGCCACCTTTATTTCTTACAATGACACAATAAAGCATTACTATTTTGAAGGCAAATTCACATGACAGCGTTGGCAGGACAACAGTTGTTCCACCCACTCTCCATCTCAATGCAGACCAACCGGTTGTCCTTGCCCAGCTCAACCGGATGGTGTGGTCCAGGTGTGTTGACGTGCTGAAGCTCTGTGCTGACAGATGAGGAAACTCTTCTGACCCACACCTACTTCACACATACAAAAAAGTGAAATAAATAATAAGAAAACACAGACAGAGAATCTAGAATTAGATTGTTCTTTTCATTACCAGCAAGTCTTTAAACGTCTTTTACATGCAGCAGAAAATCATGTCTTCATTGAACTGGCTACATCCACCTCACCACATTCAACATTAAGGCAAACTTTCCAGTTTATCTCTAGAATTATGTTTTCGTAATAGACCTTGATATTCAAAATGCATAAACTGATATATTATCAGCCCAACCCAGTTTGCAGGCCAGCAGCATTTCTCTAGTTTTTTTTCTACACCCTGCAGGAATTAATACATTCAATGATTCTGTCAACTGAGTCTCGTTTTTCAAGGTTTTCTCACATAAGATCGATTGCATCTTAAAATTTTGTCAAAACAGAATTATGGTTGTTCAAGTGGGGTTTGTAATGAGGCAATGTAAACAAAACTTATCAACTAAATCTTGCTGGAAAAACAAACCATCCCAAAATCAGGTTTATCCTGGTCACACCAGAGGTGGGGCCTCAGGGCAGTTTAAGAACACCTGATGTATGTATGAGCATTTTAAGACCAAGCAGTTATATAAGTGGTAGGGATGTAGGCCGTGTGTTGAGTCTTTAATAAATAATGCAGCATAAAACCAACTCTCATGGATGGACAGCAGTTGGACAGTCAGTGAGAGACACTAATGTTTTTTAAGAGTCCTTGAAATGGTGACTGCAGAGAAACCTGGGTTTATAGTTAGTTTTGACCCAGAGTATATGAAAATATATATTGGTAGGTATATATTCTTATGCATTCTACATGTATTTTTTTCCACAGCTCTTGAATTTAGTTTATAGATTGTGTCGTAACATTATTTATCCAGCAGATGGCAGAAGCTCTTTAAAGTCTCTAAATAATGACTGTATGAGAATCATCTTTTGTTTCTGGATTAGTAGCAGGTTACTTTGAAAATATATTCTATTACAGTTTCTGGTTACAATACCACTTCCAAACCAGCAATGTAATAAAAGGCTCAAGCTCAATAAAATAGTCTGAGCTCTTTAACTGTTCTTACTTTGCCTATGTAAGAATAAAACATGTAAGACTTTCAAAAACACCAGGGACATTTAACTAAGAGCACTTTTACCTTAGAGACTGTTAAGAAAAAAGTGTTTATACATAATATTTGATCTATTTGAATACTGACTATTATAAAGGAAATCTCTTAAATAAAATAATACAGGGCAATGTTAACCTGAGTTATGTCATTTACTAGCCTGTTCAAAACCAAGCATTTTTTTTATATATATATAAATGTATTTGTTGTCAAACATGTTTAGGCACCACAGGTCACTATGACTAAAGAATTTTTTTGATTGTCAAGAAAGTGAAAGAAAAACATTGGTGGAACCACTGGTGAATGTTGGGGATTTTTTGTCTACAGACAACAAAGATGTTAGCCAAGATACGGTATGACTTTTGCCAAACGGCCTTTGCACGGCATTTTCATTTATGGCAGTCATGTACACCAGTCCTGCCCTACCAAGACAGAAAGCTGTAACTACTGCAGTTGGCATAGTTTAAAATAAGTCGAAGACATAAACTGAAAGGACAGCAGGAAATTCCCTCAGGGCGGTGTCGTGGTAAGGTTGGTGAAAAAGAAACTAAAACATATTTAAAAGAAAGAATCAAATGTACGGATGATGCAGATCACCTCAGGTGCCTGAAAGACTAACACCACTTCTCATCTTTTTCATCTTGTTAACAGGTGAGTATCAGACTACTACCAATACATTAAATGCATTAACAACAAAAAGTTAAGTTGCATAATAGTCAAAATACTTGTGTTTTGAATGTTTTGATGCATATTTGTGAAAATGTGCTTGTTGGAGGACTGATACTGTAAAGTGTAGAGTATAGAAACTAAAACTAAACTTTGAATGAAACCAGTTGAATATAAATTACAAATGTGGGCTTCAGACAATTGACTAACACATTCACACACACCAGTATTTCATTTTAATGCGATGGCAGGTAAACACATTGTTATAACAATACTGAATTGCAGCTATTGAATGGTGTGTAGAAATTGTGTATTGTTTTAAAGAAAGACTCTCAAAATCAATTTTTCCCATTTCTGTAGACTGACTAGATTGTACAGTTTTCCCACAAAATGGATGAATCTTACATGGATCCCAGAGTTGAAGAACTGGTTAATAGATTTGCAGCTGTACTCATTGCACATCGTTTGTTAACTTCCAACAATGATGAAAAGATTCTTCTCAACAAGCTGCAAGGACTAGTTACAAATATCAAATGGAGCCCGAAGGAAGCCACTGACTTGTTTGATGCTCTTTTGAAGCGATCTGAGTCAACAACAAAAGACAGATCAAACCTCCTCTCATGGATGTTGAACATTTTGCACTGTATAGAGATTAATTACATTAGTCCCAGCTGGAAAAGTCAAACAGGAGAGACATTGATTGAGCTGATCCTAAAAAAAAAAATACTTTAGCAGATGAAGCCCTTAAGACAGATTTAGCTAATGACAGAGAAAAGGAACTGGATGAAATTCTTGAAGAAATCCGCCAACAAGAGTTAAACCAAGTTGATGAAAAGCTTTTAGATGACGTGAGAGACATTGTATCATCAGTTGTTGAGAATCTTTCTTTACACAGTGATGGGTCACAGCTCAGTGGCTTGAAAAAACACTTGCTGATGCTCTCTCAGGCTGTAGAAAAAACCACAACAAAACACTTAAAACCCCGACTGACACAGATGGTGAGCTGGTGTATTATGGCTCTCTCTAAAACAGGGCGGTTAATTCAGGTTGGCACTGGAGAGGGGAAGTCGTGTATTGTGGCAATGTTTGCAGCTTTTCGAGCTCTGAGAGGAGAAAAGGTCGACATCATGTCCAGTTCATCAATCCTCGCAGAGAGAGATTTGAAAGAATGGAGAAAATTTTATGAGAATTTGAAAATAAGTGTAGACTGCAACACCAACAAACAAGATAAAGACGAGTTAAAAAAGTGTTATAAATGTCAAGTTGTTTATGGTACTGTGGAAGAGTTTGCTGGAGACTGGCTTCGGCACCACTTTGGAAGGCTGGACATATTTGGAGAAAGAAAATTCCAGTGTGCAATTGTGGATGAAGTGGATTCCCTGATGCTAGATAAAGGTCTTCATACGATCTATTTAAGTAGTGATATGCCTGCGCTGCAACATCTCAATTCACTGTTGGCATTCATATGGAATTCTGCTAATCAGTACAGTAAGATTGGCAGAGAGATAATTGTGGGGCGAAAACACCCCTTTTTTCATGTTGTACTTGAAAAAACAAAGGGCAAAGATATTGATAAGTTCACCATCTTTGAAATGGCAGAGGAGGCAGGTATACTGGCAAAAGGTTCAGTCAAAAACCTGAGAAATAGCCATGGCATTTGGATTGACCTGAGCAGTGTTACTGTTGACCAGTTGGTAAACTTCTTTAAGACATTAGAGAGAAGATTCCCATCTTTCCAGTTCTCTCTGTACAGCATGAATAATGATGGTTCAATAAAAGGACTGAACAAGGAACCACAAAAAGAAACCAGTGAAACACAGAGAGTGCCACTGCTGTTAAGCAATGGAGGCCTCTGTCAGTACATGTATACTGATAAAAACAGTGTACTGAGAGCTATAGAAGCAGAAATAGAACATGTTCTGCATTTTACACCATGTGAACAGAGCCTAGATAAAGGTAGCTGCTATGTCCCAGGTTTCCTATCAGATCTAGTCAAATCTAAACTAAAGGTTTGGATTAAAAATGCATTCTATGCACAAACCATGACCATGGATCATGAATATATTAAGGAGGGACATGGGGTAGTACCTGTCGACTACAGCTGCACAGGCATTGTTGAAAACAACATGAAATGGACAGATGGGCTACATCAGTTTCTTGAAATGAAACATGAGTCCAAGCTGAGTGACATGACAGCCATCACAAACTACATGTCCAATGTTGGCTTGCTTCAAAAATATGGGGATCAGATCTTTGGAATCTCTGGGACTCTTGGACAACAAGCAGAGACTGAGACTTTGCAGAAAATCTATGCCGGTATCAAGACTTGCCAGATACCTTCATTCAAACGGAGAAAGCTGTTTGAGGTTGAAGGAGTGATCATAGATGATGAAACAGAATGGATTGAGAAAATCTGTGAGGTTGTCACTGCACAAACCAAGCCTACGCCATATAGAGCTCGAAGAGCAGTGCTGGTCATCTGTGAGACCATCAGTCGAGCAAAGGTTCTCCACCATGCTCTAGGAGATAATGTCCTGAACAAAAAGCTTTACATAAGCAACAACATGGACAATACTGCAATCTTTGCTAAGAATCTTGAAGCCGGAGAGGTCATTATAGCAACAAACCTTGCAGGTCGTGGGACAGACCTTCAGGTTTCTGACCAGGTAAAGACAGCAGGAGGTTTGTTCGTTGTGCAGACCTTCCTGCCAAAGAATGCTCGTGTAGAGGCCCAGGCATTTGGTCGTACTGCCAGACAAGGATCTCCTGGGTCTGCTCAGCTCATTGTCTGCATCAGCCATCTGTCGGAACCACTCCAACTACTAGTTTTGATAAAGAAACTTGAATCTTTACTGGGAGATATAACAGATGTCACTCCACTTTATCAAGATCGTTTTGTGATGCAATTGAGGTTGTATCAAAAAAACCACAGCGATATACAAACTAATGATATGTCTTCAACACTGTTACATATTTTGACCAAAAACTCAAATTCGGGAATAAAGACAGTTAAAAAGATCAGAGATGACGCGGTAGCTGAAGGACTAGCTAGCTACTTGGAGTGTGACATCCCAAAGATAAAGAAGAAGGCAGAGCTATTCAGTCAGTATCTGGACGTACTAGATGAAGTGTACAAAAGCAGTAACAATAAGCCCGAAGATTCATATTTATCTGCACTGAATGAATTCTGGGGTATGTGGCTGCTCATCAACTTCAATGAGAATGATTCTATCATGGACTTAAAAAACAAACTAACTGAAGACCTGAAGACAGCCAGGCAAAAACTCAGTCAGAGAGAATCACCCACATCAAACCTGCACCACTACACTGCAGTTGGCAATGAGCTGCGCAAAAAGGGACATCTTGCAGAGAGTATCAAGATGTACACTAAAGCCATACAGGAGGACCACTGCTGGGCAGCAATTGCATATTACAACCGTGCTTTTACATCTTTAACCCAACAAGGCAGGCAACAGGATCCAAACTGCCTCGATCAAGCTCTGGAGGATTTGCAAAACGCACTCAAGTCTGTTGAGCTCTACTGTGATCAAATTGAAGTCACTCACAGATACTCCAAACAAGTCAAGGACCTCGGTATCCCTTCAGACACCAGATTTGACAATCACATGACAGCCAGATACAGTGTGTTGTTTCTTTTCAAAGCAAACATTAATGAGGCCATAAAGAAGGTAGACAGGGCCAGAGATTTGGGTGGGAAGGTAAAAGTGGATGAAAGTCTAGTCTACTTCCTGGTCCCAGCACTGCATTTTCTCCCTTTGGCAGTCCTTTCGACCCAATCACTAACTCTGATCCGCTCCAGGGACCCTCTGAAGATCAAACAGCTCATCAGTCATCCAAGCTTTGACATTCTCAATGAACTTAGGTGTCTTGAATCTCTGGGCCTGACTCATGTCTATAAATTAGACACACTGTTTTCTCTGGGTGGCTTTTTCTCAAAGATACACAGGACCGTAAGTCGAGTTCTTGATTAGACGGCAGGCATTCAACTCGAGAAAATCAAGCAAGCCATATGATGTTGTAAGAAAGTCTTGTCAGGCACAAACTTTGAGCAATCAAGAAACACTATATGGAGCTTGCTGTGGGTTTTTAAGTTTATCTTTTTGGTCTGGAAATTATAAAATTACTGCAACTTCCTCATGCTGTAGGAAACCATGTGATTCTAACTGAACCAAAAACAGTAAAGTCAGAGGAAGAAAAGGTTTCAGGTGCATTTTTGATATGATGTTATTCAGTATAGATTCCTTGTTTATTGTTACAGCATACTTATAATATGGTTATTTTTTATTGATTATTTTTATTATTGTAAATCAAATCAACAAATGCTACTCTGATGAGTCTTAATGTATTTTATATCATTTTTACATGCAAATATGTCGTGCAATATTTTTTTTTTAAGATTTTAAGAAGATTTCTTTCTTTACAAGATGCATTTTATTGATCCTTTATTATTCATTCAAATCACAGACAAAGTAATGTTATGATACTGATACTACACTGATATTGTATTTAATGTCTTAATATTGTGGTTTAAATTTTACTTTTTAGAACATTTGCCTGGGGAAAAAAAACAATCAAAATTTGTATTTACAAAGTTATTGTTGATTTACAGTAGATACACAGCCTAGATACAGCTTGCTGCAGGTTTTAAGTTTATTTTTTATGTCTGGAAATTATTTCATCGCTGCAAGTTCTTCATCCTTTGAGAAACCATGTGATTTTAACGGAACCAAAAACATTTTAGTCAGAGGAAGAAAAAGTTTCAGGTGTTAATTAATTTTTGATATGATGTTATTCAGTACAGAGTTTTTATTGTTACAATACTTATAATACAGTTATTTTTTTATTCATTGTTTTTATAATTGTAAGGTCAAATGAACAATTGCTACTCAGATAAGTCTGAATGCATTTTGTATCATTTTTACATGCAACTATATCGTGCAATTTTAGAGATTTCCCATATTTATGTATTGATCTTTACAAGATGCATTTTATTGATTCTTTATTATTCATTTAAACAACAGACACAAAGTAATGTTATGATACCACTCTGATAGCTACTCATAAAAACCTTAATATTAATTAATTTTATTGAGGTTTTACAGAAAAAATACATTGTGCAAAGTTGTTTTTTATTTTTCCCATATTTCCGTATTGATCTTTAAAAGATACATTTTGTTGATCATTTATTATTCATTCAAATCACAGACAAAGTAATGTCATGGTACTGATGCTACACTGATATTGTATTTAATTTTCTAATATTATTTAATTTTTAATTTTACTTTTTGGAACAAATGCCTGAAAGAAACACAATTAATTAATTATTGTTGATTGAAATACATTTATTTTTATTACAATTTAAAGGCATGTTGATTCTGTATAATAAAAATAAAGCTATTACTACCACACAGAAATCTGTTACTGACCATTCATTTGAAAATACATGTTACAAGGCTATATAGGCTATATTTTCACATGTAATAATAACAGTCAAATAGACATGTGTTTACCCTACTTTTTCATGTCAAAATGGCTGCTGTGAAAAACAATTTGCATATTAATTATTTTGTCTGTGATGGTATAAAGAAACTCTTTTTCTGCTTGTTCTCCTTCAGAACTGAAGCAATTTTAACTATTAAGGACATTCTTCACATGACCACAACAACAAATAGATGCAGCATATAAGCTGAACAGGTATTACATATCATCAGTTCATTACTTCCACTGTGTGGTATAATGTGGTACTAGACTAGTTGAAACGTTTTGTGGTTGAGGTGTGGAATCAAAAGTAAAAGTATTTCATCCAAGGGAAAAATGGTGGGTATGTATTTACATTTTTAAGTGTTGAGTCTGTTGGACTGGATGCTTCAGCCAGTTGTGAGCCCAAGAGAGATTGTCTGTTTGAGTTGATATGGATTTACAGAGGAAATTGTGGAACAAAAATGAAACTTCATGGATTTAACAGTATCACCGCATTTAGACCCATGATTTTTACATCGGATTTGTTTTATTGTAATTATTGGTATCATTGTTGGAGAGTACTGTAGGCTAAACTGGGGTTAAGTACAAGATAGCTTTATCAAGGTCTTGTTTAACTTACCAAGTGAACCCACTAGTTTCAAGAAATACATCCTCATAGTGTGCACGGATGGCATAATGTTGAATCTTAAAACTATGATTGTTCAAGTGGGGATTATAATGAAGCAATACAAATAAAACTTAGAGTAAAGCTTGCTGGAACAACAAACCATCAAAAAATCTGGTTTATCCTGGTCACACCAGAGGTGGGGCCTCAGGGCAGTTTAAGAGCATCTGATGTATGTATGAGCATTTTAAGACCAAGCTGTTATATAAGTGGTAGGGATGTAGGCCATGTGTTGAGTCCTCAATAAATAATGCAGCATAAAATCAACTCTTAAAGATGGATGGCAGCTGGACAGAGAGAAACTGAGAGAGTTCGTGAAATGGTGACTGCAGAGAAACCTGGGTTTTAACCCAGAGTTTATATTATATTCTTAGGCATTCGACATGTATTGTTTTCCACAGCTCTTGAATTTAGTTTATAGACTGTGTTGTAACATTGTTCATCCAGCAGATGGCAGAAGCTCTTGAAAGTCTCTGAAATCATGACTCTGTGAGTCTGTTGTTTCTGGATTAGTAGCAGGTTACTTTTAAAATATATACTATCACAGTTACTGGTTACAATACCGCATCCAAACCAGCGATGTAATTCAAGGCTCAAGCTCAATAAAATAGTCTGAATTCTTTAAGTTCTGCATAAAAACCGTAACACCAGGGACATTTAACTAAGAGCACTTTTACCCTACACCCAAATGTTTGTACATAATATTTGATCTATTTGAATACTGAGTATTATAAAGGAAATCTCATAAATTAAAATAATACAGAGCAATGTTAACATCAAAACCAGGGATTCATGTTTAGGCACCACAGGTCACTATGTGAAGAATTTTTTGTGATTGTCAAGAAAGTGAAAGAAAAAGATTGGTGGAACCGCTGGTTAATGTTGGGGATTTTTTGTCTACAGACATCGAAAAGATAGCTGGAAATCCCCTCAGGGCGGTGTCGTGGTAAGGTTGGCGAAAAAGAAACTAAAATATTTAAAAGAAAGAATCAAATGTATGGAGGATGCAGATCACCTCAGGTGCCTGAAAGACTAACACCACTTCTCATCTTTTTCGTCTTGTTAACAGGTGAGTATCAGACTACGACTAATACATTAAATGCATTAACAACAAAAACAGTTAAGTTGCATAATAGTCAAAATACTTGTGTTTTGAATGTTTTGATGCATATTTGTGAAAATGTGCTTGTTGGAGGACTGATACTTTAGAGTGCAGAGTATAACAACTAAAAGTAAATTCTGAATGAAACCAGTTGAATATAAATCACAAATGTGGGCTTCAGACAATTGACTAACACATTCACACACACCAGTATTTAATTTTAATGCGATGGCAGGTAAACACATTGTTATAACAATACTGAATTGCAGCTATTGAATAGTGTGTAGAAATTGTGTATTGTTTTAAAGAAAGACTCTCAAAATCCATTTTTTGATGCTCTTTTGAAGCGATCTGAGTCAACAACAAAAGACAGATCAAACCTCCTCTCATGGATGTTGAACATTTTGCACTGTATAGAGATTAATTACATTACTCCCAGCTGGAAAAGTCCAACAGGAAAGACACTTATTGAGCTGATCCAAAACAAGATTTTAACAGATGAAGCCCTTAAGATATATTTAGCTGATGACAGAGAAAAAAAACTGGATGAAATTCTTAAAGAAATCCGCCAACAAGAGTTAAACCAAGTTGATGAAAAGCTTTTAGATGACGTGAGAGACATTGTATCATCAGTTGTTGAGAATCTTTCTTTACACAGTGATGGGTCACAGCTCAGTGACTTGAAAAAACACTTGCTGAGGCTCTGTCAGGCTGTAGAAAACACTCACTTCAGACCACGAGTGACACAGATGGTGAGCTGGTGTATTATGGCTCTCTCTGAAACAGGGCGGATAATTCAGGTTGGCACTGGAGAGGGGAAGTCGTGTATTGTGGCAATGTTTGCAGCTTTTCAAGCTCTGAGAGGAGAAAAGGTAGACATCATGTCCAGTTCATCAGTCCTCGCAGAGAGAGATTTGGACGAATGGAAAGATTTTTATGAGAATTTGAAAATAAGTGTAGACTGCAACACCAACAAACAAGATAAAGAGTTAAAAAAGTGTTATGAATGTCAAGTTGTTTATGGTACTGTGGAAGAGTTTGCTGGAGACTGGCTTCGGCACCACTTTAGAAGGTTGGACATATTTGGAGAAAGAAAATTCCAGTGTGCAATTGTGGATGAAGTGGATTCCCTGATGCTAGATAAGGGTCTTCATACGATCTATTTAAGTAGTGATATGCCTGCGCTGCAACATCTCAATTCACTGTTGGCATTCATATGGAATTCTGCTAATCAGTACAGTAAGATTGGCAGAGAGATAACTGTGGGGCGAAAATACCCCTTTTTTAATTTTGTCACTATGTGAAGAATTTTTTGTGATTGTCAAGAAAGTGAAAGAAAAACATTGGTGGAACCACTGGTGAATGTTGGGGATTTTTTGTCTACAGACAACAAAGATGTTAGCCAAGATACGGTATGACTTTTGCCAAACTGCCTTTGCACGGCATTTTCTATTTATGGCAGTCATGTACACCAGTCCTGCCCTACCAAAACAGAAAGCTGTAACTACTGCAGGTAGGCTACAGTAAGTAGTAGGGTTTAAAATAAGTCCAACAAGTAAATCAAAAGGATAATTGGAAATCCCCACAGGGTGGTGTCGTGGTAAGGTTGGTGAAAAAGAAACTAAAATGTATTCAAAAGAAAGAATCAAATGTACAGATGATGCAGATCATCTCAGGTGTCTGAAAGACTCACACCACTTCTCTTCTTTTTCATCTTTTTAACAGGTGAGTATCAGACTACTACCAACACATTAAATGCATTAACAACAAGAAGAGTTCAGGTACATAGAATAGTTACAGTACCTGTGTTTTGATGCATATTTGTGAACATTTACTTGTTGGAGTGATTATACTGTATAGTGTAGAATATAAAAAACTAAATATATATTGTGAATGAAACCTGTTATATATAAATTACCACAAATGTCTGTTGCAGACATCTGACTAACACAGTTGTACACACTAATATTCTTACTATTTGATTTTAATTAGACAGCAAGTAAACATAAGGTTTTTGCAATATTACTGAATTGTAGATATTAACCCTTCTGCACCCCTTCAGAAACTTATGATGTTTTACCCTTTGTACAAAAAATGTTCAGTTCCTAAAAAGTACTATAAAAATATCATATATGAATATTTTTTTTCACTTTCACTGCATTAAATAGTTTGACCAACTTCAGTCCTGATCATAATTATTAAATGTACATGTATTACTTAAATAATTGTAACCCTTTAATACCATTCTGGAAATATTAACCCACATGTTTTAAATTATAAAACACAAAATATGAAATATTCTCCACATACTAAGTGCAAACTGCAATATTTTGGGGGGATTATTACACCCATTGATATTTCAATAATTGACAACAACATTATTATTTTTTGAGCAGTGTGAGTTTATTAAAAAAATGTCCACCTTTTACCCTTCATGCAAGAAATGCTCAATTCCTACAAATTGCTATAAAAATATTATATTTTAAAAGAAAATGTCACTTTCACTGCAATAAATCTTTTGACCAACTTCAGTCCTGGTCATTCACAACTATTCACTGACATGTATTTCTTCAATAATTGTAACCCTTTAATGCCATTTTGGGAATATTAGGCCACATTTCTATTGTCAAAAACACAAAATATGGAACAATTTAAGGTTTAAAGGTAGTCATGTGTAAAATATGTCTGAGGGGTAAAAGGTGGAACTTTTGATAAAAAACTGAAATCCTTGCAAAATTTTGTCTCACTACCATTAACACAGGCAAAATTGTTTTTGTAAAACAAAAGTATTTTTAATTGGAAAATGCCAAAAATGTACCAAGGGGTGCATAAGGGTTAAACAGCATGTATAAATTGTGTATTGTTTTAAAGAAATCATTTTTGTACAACAGTGTTTCAACCAAAATGGATGAATCTGACATGGATATCAGCATAAAAGATGATCTTCTAAACAAGCTGCAAGGACTGGTTACAAACATCAAATGGAGCCCAAAGGATGCCACTGACCTGTTTGATGCTCTTCTGAAGCGATTCGACTCAACAAATGACACACCACATCTCCTCTCAAGAATGTTGGAAATGTTGCACCATATAGAGATTAATTACATTACTCCAAGCTGGAAAAGTCACACAGGAAAGACACTGATGGAGCTGGTTAGAGACAAGGCTATGACAGACGAAAACCTCAAGAAAAGTTTAGCTAAGAACCAAGAAAAGAAACTGGATGACATACTTGAGGAAATCCGGCAACAAAAGTTAAACCAAGTTGATGAGAACCTTTTAGATGACGTGAGAGACATTGTACTATCAGTTAAGAATCTTTCTTTACCCAGTGATAGATCACGGCTCAGTGGCTTGAAAAAACACTTGCTGAGGCTCTGTCTGGCTGTAGAAAAAACCACAACAAAACACTTAAAACCCAGACTGACACAGATGGTGAGCTGGAGTATTATGGCTCTCTCTGAAACAGGGCGGTTAATTCAGGTTGGCACTGGAGAGGGGAAGTCATGCATCATAGCAATGTTTGCAGCTTTTCGAGCTCTGAGAGGAGAAAAGGTCGATATCATGACTAGTTCACCAGTCCTTGCAGAGAGAGATTTTAAAGAATGGAAAACATTTTATGACAATTTAAAAATAAGTGTAAACTGCAACACCAACAAACAAGATGGAAACAATTTAAAAAAGTGTTATAAATGTCAAGTTGTTTATGGTACTGTGGAAAAGTTTGCTGGAGATTGGCTTCAGCACCACTTTGAAAGGGAGGATATATTTGGAGAAAGAAAATTCCAGTGTGCAATTGTGGATGAAGTGGATTCCATGATGCTAGACAAGGGTAGTGATGTAGTCTATATAAGTAGTGATATGCCTGCTTTGCAGCATCTCAATTCACTCTTGGCATTCATATGGGCCACTGTTAACCAGTATGGGAAGATTGGCACAGACACAACGGTAGGGCGAAAATACACCTTCCCTCATGTTGTGCTGGAAAACATAACAAAGGGCAAAGATGTCGATGAGTTCACCATCCTTCAACTGGCGGAGGACATGGGAATACTGGTAAAATGTTCAGTCAAGGATCTTAGAAAGAACCCAACCCTTTTAACTGAAAAAACAGCAAGTGTTACTGTTAACCAGTTGGCAAAGTTCTTCCAGGCAGTAGAGAGGAGATTCCCATCTTACCAGTTTGATCTGCACTGCATGGATAATGATGGAGCAATAAAGAAACTAAACAAAGAATCACAAACAGACAAAAACGAAAGACAGAAAGTACTACTGCTGTTAAGCAATGGAGGCTTCTGTCAGTACATGTATACTGATAAAGAGAGCTTGCTGAGGGCTGCAGAAGCAGAAATAAAACATGCCTTTCATTTTACACCTGGCGAGCTTAGTAAAGATAGAATAACCTGCAATGTCCCAGGCTTCCTTTCAGATCTGGTCAATTCCAAACTAAAGGTCTGGATTGAAAATGCATTCAAAGCACAAACAATGACCATGGATCATGAATATATCGTGGAGAGACATGGGGTAGTACCTGTCGACTACAGCTCCACGGGTGTTGTTCAAAACTTCAGGACACTTTCAGATGGACTACAGCAGTTTCTTGAAATGAAACACAAGTCCAAGCTGAATGACATGTCAGCCATCACAAACTACATGTCCAGTGTTGGCTTGTTTCTAAAGTATGGGGATCAGATCTTTGGAGTCTCTGGGACTCTTGGACACCAAGCAGAGACTGAAACTTTGCAGAAAATCTATGCCGGTATCAAGACTTGTCAGATACCTTCATTTAAACGGAGAAAGCTGTTTGAGGTTGAAGGAGTGATCGTAGATGATGAAAAAGAATGGATTGAGAAAGTCTTTGAGGTTGTCACTGCACAAACCAAGCCTACGCCATATAGGGCTCAAAGAGCAGTGCTGGTCATCTGTGAGACCATCAGTCGAGCAAAGGTTCTCCACCATGCTCTGGGAGATAACGTCCCGCGCAAAAAGCTTTACATAAGCAACAACATGGACAATTCTGCAATCTTTGCCAAGAAGCTTGAAGCCGGAGAGGTCATTATAGCAACAAACCTTGCAGGTCGTGGGACAGACCTTCAGGTTTCTGACCAGGTAAAGACAGCTGGAGGTTTGTTTGTTGTGCTGACCTTCTTCCCTGAGAATGTCCGTGTGGAGGCCCAGGCATTTGGCCGCACCGCTAGACAAGGATCTCCTGGGTCTGCTCAGCTCATTGTCTGCATCGGCCATCAGTCACATCTGTCACTCAAAAAGCAGGATTTAAAAAGCGAACATCAATCTTCATTGGAAAATAGGACTAATGTCACACCAGTCTATAAAGATCTTTTTCTGAAGCAATTTAAATTGTATCACAAATACCACGGCGATGAAGTGTCTAAATCTTTGGCTTTGACAATGTTGCATATTTTGACAAACACGTCTGATTCAGGAATAAAGACAATTAAGGAGATCAGAGATCTCTTTGCAGCTGAAAGACTAAGTAACTTTTCAGAGTGTGACATCCCAAATATAAAGAAGAAGGAAGAACTCTTCAAGCTGTATCTGCATATACAAGATGATTTATACAAAAGCAAGCCAGCAGATTCCGATTTATCTGCACTGAATGAATTATGGGGTATGTGGCTGCTCATCAACTTCAATGAGAATGATTCTATCATGGACTTGAAAAACAAACTAACTGAAGACCTGAAGACAGCCAGGCAAAAACTCAGACAGAGAGAATCACCCATATCAAACCTGCACCACTACACTGCATTTGGCAATGAGCTGCGCAAAAATGGACATCTTGAAGAGAGTATCAAGATGTACACTAAAGCCATACAGGAGGACCACTGCTGGGCGGCAATTGCATATTACAACCGTGCTTTTACATCTTTAACCCAACAAGGCAGGCAACAGGATCCAAACTGCCTCGATCAAGCTCTGGAGGATTTGCAAAATGCTCTCAAGTCTGTTGAGCTCTACTGTGATCAAATTGAAGTCACTCACAGATACTCCAAACAAGTCAAGGACCTCGGTATCCCTTCAGACACCAGATTTGACAATCACATGACAGCCAGATACAGTGTGTTGTTTCTTTTCAAAGCAAACATTAATGAGGCCATAAAGAAGGTAGACAGGGCCAGAGACTTGGGTGGGAAGGTAAAAGTGGATGAAAGTCTAGTCTACTTCCTGGTCCCAGCACTGCATTTTCTCCCTTTGACAGTCCTTTCGACCCAATCACTAACTCTGATCCGCTCCAGGGACCCTCTGAAGATCCAACAGCTCATCAGTCATCCAAGCTTTGACATTCTCAATGAACTTATGTGTCTTGAATCTCTGGGCCTGACTCATGTCTATAAATTAGACACACTGTTTTCTCTGGGTGGCTTTTTCTCAAAGATACACAGGACCGTAAGTCGAGCTCTTGATTAGACGGCAGGCATTCAACTCGAGAAAATCAAGCAAGCCATATGATGTTGTAAGAAAGTCTTGTCAGGCACAAACTTTGAGCAATCAAGAAAACTAAATGGAGCTTGCTGTGGGTTTTTAAGTTTATCTTTTTGGTCTGGAAATTATAAAATTACTGCAACTTCCTCATCCTGTAGAAAACCATGTGATTCTAACTGAACCAAAAACAGTAAAGTCAGAGGAAGAAAAGGTTTCAGGTGCATTTTTGATATGATGTTATTCAGTATAGATTCCTTGTTTATTGTTACAGTATACTTATAATATGGTTATTTTTTATTGATTATTTTTATTATTGTAAATCAAATGAACAATTGCTACTCTGATGAGTCTTAATGTATTTTATATAATTTTTACACAAAAATATGTCGTGCAATTTAAAAAAAATTTTAAGATTTTAAGAAGATTTCTTTCTTTACAAGATGCATTTTATTGATCCTTTATTATTCATTCAAATCACAGACAAAGTAATGTTATGATACTGATACTACACTGATATTGTATTTAATGTCTTAATATTGTGGTTTAAATTTTACTTTTTAGAACATTTGCCTGGGAAAAAAATCTAAATTTGTATTTACAAAGTTATTGTTGATTTACAGTAGATACACAGCCTAGATACAGCTTGCTCCAGGTTTTAAGTTTATTTTTTATGTCTGGTTATTATTTTATTGCTGCAAGTTCTTCATCCTTTGAGAAACCATGTGATTTTAACTGAACCAAAAACATTTTAGTCAGAGGAAGAAAACGTTTCAGGTGTTAATTCATTTTTGATATGATGTTATTCAGTACAGAGTTTTTATTGTTACAATACTTATAATACAGTTATTTTTTTATTCATTGTTTTTATAATTGTAAGGTCAAATGGACAATTGCTACTCAGATAAGTCTGAATGCATTTTGTATCATTTTTATTTTAGAGATTTCCCATATTTATGTATTGATCTTTACAAGATGCATTTTATTGATCCTTTATTATTCATTCAAACAACAGACACAAAGTAATGTTATGATACTACTCTGATAGCTACTCATAAAAACCTTAATATTAATTAATTTTATTGAGGTTTTACAGAGAAAATACATTGTGCAAAGTTGTTTTTTATTTTTCCCATATTTCCGTATTGATCTTTAAAAGATATATTTTGTTGATCATTTATTATTCATTCAAATCACAGACAAAGTAATGTCATGGTACTGATGCTACACTGATATTGTATTTAATTTTCTAATATTATTTAATTTTTAATTTAACTTTTTGGAACAAATGCCTTAAAGAAACACAATTAATTAATTATTTTTGATTGAAATACATTTATTTTATTACAATTTAAAGGCATGTTGATTCTGTATAATAAAAATAAAGCTATTACTACCATACAGAAATCTGTTATTGACCATTCATTTGAAAATACATGTTACAACAGGCTATATAGGCTATATTTTCATATGTAATAATAATAGTCAAATAGACATGTGTTTACCCTACTTTTTCATGTCAAAATGGCTGCTGTGAAAAACAATTTGCATATTAATTATTTTGTCTTTGATGGTATAAAGAAACTCTTTTTCTGCTTGTTCTCCTTCAGAACTGAGGCAGTTTTAACTATTAAGGACATTCTTCACATGACCACAACAACAAATAGATGCAGCATATAAGCTGAACAGGTATTACATATCATCAGTTCATTACTGCCACTGTGTGGTATAATGTGGTACTAGACTAGTTGAAACGTTTTGTGGTTGAGGTGTGGAATCAAAAGTAAAAGTATTTCATCCAAGGGAAAAATGGTGGGTATGTATTTACATTTTTAAGTGTTGAGTCTGTTGGACTGGATGCTTCAGCCAGTTGTGAGCCCAAGAGAGATTGTCTGTTTGAGTTGATATGGATTTACAGAGGAAATTGTGGAACAAAAATGAAACTTCATGGATTTAACAGTATCACCGCATTTAGACCCATGATTGTTACATCGTATTTGTTTTATTGTAATTATTAATATCATTGTTGGAGAGTACTGTAGGCTAAACTGGGGTTAAGTACAAGCTAGCTTTATCAAGGTCTTGTTTAACTTACCAAGTGAACCCACTGGTTTCAAGAAATACATCCTCATAGTGTGCAAAAAAATACAAACCTACCAGGTTTAAAAAAAGAAATCTTTACCTCAGTGGAGCACAGGTGCTGTCCATTTTACTTGATTACAACCCATGTGAAATCCAAGATGGTGGATAATCTTTTTCTCAACCCCCAGTTTGGTGTCGAATGTTGTCAAATTGAACACATTCATTTAGATTGATTTGAAAAATAATATGTTTAAAGACTAACTTAATGATCTGATATGACCACATTCTAGACTAAGTGATTGGCTCAATGAAGAAAGATGTATAGGTAAATAATTTTTTTATTGATTTCTAATGCCACCTTTAGATATTTTTATTCAGTGCTTTGTGACTGTGCCACAATAATGTAATGTTTTGAGTTCCAATATCTTCATTTGGGGTCTTTTCCCAGCGAATATTATGTGATTGTTGCGCTCAAATCAGCATATATTTCTGCCACCCCATGAAGTCTCCATGCCACCCCTCTCTGGCCACCCCATGAACATTTTTTCTAGCTACCCCCCTGGCTGCTGCTAATGGCCACAAGCTATATTACTGTATATGCAAACAGGGCATCAGATTCTGTGTATTCCTTTTCTATAAATACTGTATGGGACTTTAACAAAGTGAGCAGAACACAGTTTTCTTCACATCGACCCCTCTTCAAAATGCAAACACAGGAGACAGGATATTTCTCTTAAGCTTTTATTAATATTTAAGTTTGCTTTTTTAAGGATGTCCATTGTTTTACACAGAGAAATTAGCCACACAAGTAAATTTGATTGTATTCTCTTTACCTTTAATCATTTTTTTTTTTTTTTTTTTACCGTTAATTATATTATTCTCCCTTATCAGCGCTAATGCTAAAAAAGTTACACAAGAACTATCACACGGTTAACTAACTTGTGAGCACATCGGGACGGTAAACTAACACTTCACAGAGATCAAACAAAAAAATTCAATTTCCAAAAGATTGAGGGGGAAAAAAACATGATTTAAGTAAAAATTAAAGAGACAAAACCAAAGACAAAATGGACAAGCATTTACAATCACACAGCCCTGCTCAACTCTCCACAAAGAAGAACCACTCCTTTTCCTTATTTGGCAATTTCACTTTCCAGGCTCCACCCATTATCCCTTATTTGGTAGACGTTCCCATGCCCGATTGAGTTTAAACTGAAGTCAGGGAACATTTACATTCTATAAGTGCCTTCATCCTGGTTTGACGTCAGATTTTGCATTTACACCCCAACGCACAAAATCTTCTAAACATCAAGATTTGCTCTCGCCTTATTAAATGCGACAGTGGTTAGCGGTTCAAAGGCTGGTTGTGAATTGCACTATGTGATGGGCCAGACTTAAAACAGATGATTGTTGTCATCACTAACACCATCATTAATATCTCCCAAGTACCATTCTATTCGAAACTCAAATCCAAGGCCCTCCACTGACTTTCCCTTTTTCCTCCATTTCTACTTCATCAGGTTCGGGAAAGGAGCACTAGACAGCATGTGAAAGAAACAGGCAAACCTCCAACGGACTCATTAAAATGCTTATTAAAGAAAAAAAATAAATCAGATGCAACACTGCATCGGAAACACAAAGGCGGCACGCTTACGAATGCACATGCTCTCCAAGGATATCGGATCGGGTCCAAATACGGGTCCTTTAAAAAGTATGGTCAGTCCAATGGCTACACGTCACAGGGCAGTGGCAAGCTTTGTGTTTATCTGCTGCTGAAATATTACCTATTTAAAAGGATATTTCAGTCAGACATTTTACAATCTTTAGCAAATTCATTTCTAAGCATTTCTTATCGCAGAATTTGGACAAAAAAATGTGCCCGCATTTTGGGGCTCTTAGTTTTGGCAGTAATATTGCTTATTGGCTGCAATTCCTTTAAGGTTTTTTTTTTTTTTTTTTAAAGGTGCAGATATTGGCTGATCATTTTTCACTCTAAAAACTTAAAAACTTGCCTCTTATGACTGAAGCTGTACCGAAAAGGCGCAGCCCTGGTGGCAAGATGTGTTTTTTTCTGAGTGCGTTGGCAGTGAAGGGGCTGGTACATTGTCGCTAATAAGTCACAGGGGCTTTTTCGTTGGTAGGGATTCCTAAACTTTTTCCATAGGCCCTCCTTGCTGCATTAATTGTGCTTACAGGATAAAAGCGCTTCCATACGCCTCACATTCACTTCCACAGACACGCACCCATACACTCACACACACATTTCGCAACAATCCCATGCAAAACACAATTCTCTTGACCCCGTTGCTTGAAATAAAGCCGCTTGTTGCTAGAGAGGAGTTTGTGTTTTTTTTTTTTTGTGTTTACCTCACATCGCACAGAAACTCAAGTATGCTAGCTGGGTTTGTTAGGAGGTATCCATGCACGGGCAAGGCTAAGAGCTTTTACAACCCAGATGATAAAACACAGTGATCCCTTCTGGCCACGCCTAACACTTCAATGCAATATCCAAACCGGCATGCTACTGAGTGATGTAATGCTCCCTGTTGAGTAGTACACGAGCGTGGATATTAGGACACGCAGTGCGAGACCGCCAGCGATATTGGAAGCACTATTTAGTGTGCGACTAGTGTTAATGATAGGGTGATAGCTAGCTAAAGCACACAAACACCCTCAGTCTCACCTATGCTTACCTTCAAAACCGTCACGTTCGTTTAAACAAGCGTCAAACATGACAGCACACACACACACACACACACACACACCCCCATATCCGCACAACTCATTAGCAGAATATAAAAGAAAAAATATATATTGTCCAGTCAATATTCACATGGGCTGATACCAGGCATGCAACTTCCACACAGTCCAGAAAAAAGAAAAAAAAACAACCCCAAAAAAAAAAAGCTTCCTGCCCACCTTCTTGAATCCAATGGGAAAACAAAACAGTCACTTATAGACGGGGCAAATGGAAGACATAAACAACCTGGCAACAACAAGGAGGAAGTAGTCACTATAATGGCTCTCACTGGCTGCTACCGCATGACGGGTCAACCAATCAGTAGCTTCCGCCCCTTGCTGAGGCAGGTTACGAATAAAAAATAAAAATCCGATCGAAGAAATAAAAATAACACAATAAAAACTAGCTTAAAAAGTAGTAGACACACATTGTTATAAGTATCTCTGCTATAGTATGTTTTTTTTTTTTTTTTTTTTTTTACTCTATGTCATTTTAAACTCATTGCGTAATAAAGAGAAAAGTGTTACTGTTTTTTTCTATTACATCATCATCATCATCATCCTCATTAGCTTCATCATCAACAACATTATCATCAGCATCAAGAACAATACCATTTTCAGAATTATTACTATGGTTAACGCAAGGTGTGTGGCCTCTATAGGCCTCCTTATCTAAATTAAAGGGCTCTATTGGCGTACAGAGGATCCAATAGAGGGAGAGAGAGAGAGAGAGAGAACTAGTTGCCACTCCTTCCCTACACCCCCCCTTCTTTTTTATTAATCTCTTCTAGCCTATTCTTCTGAAGTTCATTGTAGAACAGCCCAATCCACTTTGTTTTTAGCTGGAAGGGGGATGTGAGGAGCAGGAGTGGGCTTTGTATGTGGTGCAAAATATGGAGGTTTTCTTCCTCTTTCTCCCTCCCTCTCTCTCCCTCTATTCCTATTCTGCACTCATGGGGAATGATGGGAGTTGTTTAGTGACAAATAAGTAACCCATTCGTCTCGTTCCTGCATTATTGTCATGCTTCATCCTTCCCTTCCTCTCGCTTTGCCCTCTTCTTTCTCACTCTCACTCACTCTCTCGCTCTCTCTCGCTCTATCATTTTTCTTTTTTTTCCCTTCAGCAAGACACCTCCATCGTTTGGGAAGGGCTGGGTGGCATCTGGCCGCCCTGCGAGCCCTGGGACAGGGTGCGGGAGCGAGAGCGGGACCCATCCATGGAGTAGGAGGAGGAGAGGGAGGTGGTGCGGGAGCGGGACAGGCGGGTCATGCAAGATGAAGCCACTGTGGAGAGATGGGTAGAAAGACATGGAAAGGCAAATTAGTTTCACAAAATAGAAATCCGTTAAACATTATGCAATATCTAACGGATAAAGCTGGTATTATTCTATAGTTTTCTTGTTGACTATGGTGGCCCTGAGAGCTCAACGTACAGCAACTTAAGAAAACACGAAAATAGAAAAACACAAGCAAATTAAGAATACATCACACATTTGACAACACGATTTCTCTTGCTGCATCTCTGTTTTCCTAAATGCTGCATGAGTTGTCAAATTGGTAAGGATGTTTTCTTAATTTGCATCGGTTTCCACTTATTTGCATGCATTTTCTTTTAGTTGCAGTGCTTTGGGCTCTCAGGGCCACCATACAAATCCAATAAAAAGACCAAAACCAACCATGTGTTGGTTCATCACTTAATACTTTCAGACTTCCCTACCCTGTCTATACATTCAGCTCCAAACAGGTTTTATATACATAACTTCAAAAAAAATGTTTTCAGTAAACATTCCTCAAACAGGACTAAATTATGCATTTTTCGGGGACTATTTTCAGTTGCGTATTAATACACATTTGGTGCTCTAGTGGGTATTTACAGCAGCAGGACAGTGTATGTGAGAAATAAAGTACACATTCATTTTCATGGTAATAAGAAAACTTATCACCCAGCACAGCAATGTGGCTCCTTTATGTGTTTTGTTAAACTTTTTGGACTTCTTGAAGAATGGAGATCGATGGTACAGAAGCATTACGCTATATCAGGCTTTGGCTAAACAGATACGTGTTAGTTGGTTAAATTCATCACTCTTTTCATGGGATTTATTGACAATTACATGAATATAGAATATCACCAGCCTTATCCTATTACCTCCTATATCACTGTGTATACATGTAATCTGTGCAAGTAAATCGTTTTATTAGGTGAAGTGAACTTACTGTAGCCCATTCCCTGGATGAAATACTTGAAAGCCTCTGTCAGTTTAGCAGGCTGCAAACACAAAGAAAATAAATTGTTTTACAGTTTAGTACAATCACTAATTATTACCTGAACTAGGTGGGGGAACCGACGTGGCATTCAAGGGTAACAGTTTTCATTTAATAGACTTAAAACCCAGAAATTCAACTAAATCTGTAAAATGTGTACTTTAGAGAGTAGATTGTTTTCCTTTTTTGTGGATTTTGCAGATTCGTGTGCATGAAGAAGAATTTGGCAAACGGAATGAATAATTTAGAGTGGTTAGAGGTTTTCTTCAGTTGAAGGCCCACATGGTGATGGCTGATTTGTTTAAACACAACAATTCTGCTTGTTGCAGCTTCAACATCCATGCTTTAGGAGGCCTTTCATTTGTCGTTACCTGGGTCAGCTGGGGGAGACCACCTGCATCAGCCATCTGCGGAGGAGGGAGAGAAGAAGTGCATAAGAGTGCATAACAACGTAAAGTGTAAGTAATAACAGAGAACTTTAAAAACAGACTTTAAAAAAGGAAGAAGTGATGGTTTGTTACCTTTAAGAATGAGGTTGTTGTTGGGTCCATTTTGCTGTTGCACTCCACCTAGTGGTCACAGAAGGGAAAACAGTAAATCTCTGCCATCACAACAAGTTAAGAGTATTTACTAATGGCAACCAACTCGTATTGTGTTGATATGAATGAGACAATATAAGAACACTTGAAACATCCCAATTAACCAAGTTAAGAAGCATTTTACACTTTTTAAGAGAGTAGCAGAAACTTACGGCTGCGTCCTCATATGGAGCCTGATCGCCCACCACCAACATTACTGGACACCTGAGGGTGACAGAAACAGAGATTGGAAGGGTGGATTAGATTTAGAGGTTTATTTATGTATAAAAAATAAAAAAGCAAAGTATAAAGATTAAAGTATAAGGGTATTTACTTGAAGGAGCTGTTGCGGTCAATGTTCAAGTCTCTGCGACTGGAGGGAAATGAAAAGAGGAGAATACGGTGAGTCGTGGTTTAATGTGGAGTACGCTTGTGTTTATGCAATGACGTGTGTGTGTGTGTTTACCTGTTGTAAGTCTTCCAGAAAAGCTCTATGTTGACCAGATTAGAGGCTTTGGAGATGCGCTCTCTGTGAGACTGCACTAGATCTGTGTTTGATGACAGCTCCTCCTGCAAGAAAGTCGACATTTTTTTTCAACTGCAACCCAACAAACGCACAAAATGATGCAAAAACTGCAGGATTTTTTTCAACTAACCAAATAATTTTTGGGACATTATGTTGCGTTTTGATACACATTTTGCATATACACATAAAAAAACACATTGACGTACCTGACTGAAAAGGTGGGACACGATCTGCTCCGTGAGGGAGGATGTCACAGAGCTGAGCTAGAGAGGAGAGAAATCAATAGGATTGTTCATCATTTAAGTTTAATATGATGAACAATGACATAATCAATACTACTCAGAGACACAGACCATACAGTCACATAATTTCATATCCACAGCTAAACTTAAATTGATGGAGCTCCCATTAGGACTAACCGGATTAAAAGACCACATGTTTCTGTGTACAAGACGATGCAGTCCTGACTCGGAAAGGCATAAAGGAATGAAGGAAACAAAATGTACCTTCTGAGCAGCCCAGTCTATCCATCCTCGGGCGTTAGTGTCGATGTTGATCAGAACCAGGCCTTCCACTGAGTCAGGGTTTGCAATCTGAAGAGGTAGATAGACGGTGAGCAGTCAGTAGTTGTTATAGACAGAAATGCTCATGAATAATGACAACACTGCGTGGAATTGCCCCCCCCTTCCCCCCGCTAGCATTACTACCATGTTCCACTGCTGCTTGACCAACAAAACAACGTGTAGTACTATTGGCTACTGTCAGAACACGAGAGCTTAAACAAAACACACAGACACTCACTGAGAACTTGGAGAGGACGTACGCTCCCGCTCCCACACCCACTCCGATTACAGTACGGAAGCTGGCAAAGGACAGAATTATTGTTAATATCACGCACTTGAACTTACAATGCACTCAAAACACACTTACATATTAACTTATATAGGGTTTTCTCTGAGGTAGGGCTGGTTTTGGTGAGAAGTAATCTCATTGGTTGAATTCAAACATTTCTAAAAGCATTAATTTTCCCCAAATATTACTGTATGTGTTACTGAAAACCTGCAGTCCAAGTAATTAGCTGTGCTGTCATTCTGGTTCAATGTTTGGTACTGGTGGTGGTTTATGTACTGTACTTTGAAAGTTTAGGAATAAGTCAACTTTAGGTGAGTCACAAGGAATTATCAAGCCTTTAATTATGAACAAACGGATCTATATTCTGGTTGCATTACTAAGTAATTCTCCATAATTCTGAGTGAAATTTAAGTTAATAAGTTAAGTAAACAGCACACTTTCAAATGTCCCCTCAACATATTACAATATTTTGACATTTATTACGAATGCCCAGTGTTAAAAACCTGAGTTGGGGTTTACTACTAATAATCTACTAATAAATCTACTAATAAATAGATCTGTGTCTAGTATGACTTACACAACAAGAAGGACCAGTTAGAAATGTATGGCTCTGTAGATAACATACAATCACCTTCTGCGTGTCAAATTTTGTCCAAGTAAATACTGTTAACTCACTTGAAAAACTGCAGGACGGCAGGGATCATCTCTGCTACGGTGTCCATGGAGGGATACTGGTAACTGCATCAGAAAAGGGTGAAGACTGTTTTCAGAACCAGAGATCTCACCAAACCTATTTGTAATTATTGGAAATCAGAAACAATGACATTTTTTCACTTTTTTCATCTTAAGCACCGACACTTTTAACCACAGGGACTTAATATGAGCTCAAAAAGAGAATAAGCTTCAATTTCCAGAATCACCAGAAGAAGTTAAGGGTCACAGACGGTTGAGATGTCGTGACGATATGTGCAACAAAATCCTCCCGAGCCACTAAAAATAATCACCCAAGGAAGAGAAGTGCTAGAGAAGTGCAGGGGGGAAGAAATAAGATGTGCGTAAAGAGAGGGAAAAGGAGGGATTTTCTCTAAAGCTCTGACAAGAGCGTATTAGAGACTCGCCAGAAAAGGAGGGAGATGTGAGAGATGGGAACGTTAAGTATTTTTGGAGGAGATTAGGTTTAAGCCTACCACAGAGGACTGTTTCCATTTCTGAGAAAAAAAATCAAGTTTACTGCAGGACGCTGACGATTCATCAATACACAGTTAATATATATCGTACCCTGCGGGGTAGGCAGCAGCCCCCTCCTCCTGCCCCGGAGCATCAACGTGAATCAGGGTGAAATTCTTCACAATCTCCTGCATCTCCTCGAACTTAAACAGAGGGGAGAAGCAGCTCTTGCCTGCCAGAGAAAGAGGGAGATAATCAAATACGGGAGGCGGAGAAAGTCACAAAGAAAAGGAAAAAGATTGTGTGACGGAGAGTTGGGGAAACAGAAAAGGCAGAGGGAGAGAGAGAGTTACTCACTGTCCAGACCCACATCGTGGAAGGTGAGGATCGCAGGCCTGCGGGTGGTCCGTGTGCCGTGGAGGGTCACGTGCAGAACACCATGTGGGGTCTCAATGCTGTGCTCCTGGAGAGAGAAAAAAAGATTGCAACACATTCTGAAAAGTGCGATATTGACGTTTCTGGAGCGAGGTTGCAGATATTTTACGCCCGTATCGAGTGAAAATCCCCCAAGATTTGTATTCCTTGAGTTTTGTTTTCATCAAGATACTCCACACAAAATCAACTCTATGCCTGTAGGCTAAGTTTTTTTTTCACAAAGAATGGAGTGTGTGGTCAACATGAATACAGAGTGGTTGAAAGACCGTCCTGTTTTCACAGTGGAAAGCAATAAAACATCAATATAAACTTCCACTCCTGCAGCATGGGGCACTTCTCCGCTGTCCACCCACATGGCCAGTATGATAGCTAAATTCACTTTAAATTAGTGTTGCTATGACAGTCGGATAAGTTGCACGTTATTTAAAAATTTGGTGATTAAATAAACAATGTTCTACTTCTTGTTTATGTAATCTATGTTGAACTCCTGCCTGGCCCCCAGTGTTTAGTTATGATTGTATTGTATATTTAGTTTGTACTCGATACCATGCAACCCTGGTATTCAGTCTATAAACCTGAGAGGTGACAGTCTTACCTGTCCTTGGTCCAGGAGTATCCTGGCAGCCAGTTCAGCATCCTGTGAGAAATGAAGGAAAGAAGTCTTATCAGAAGAAGGAGTGCATAAGATTATTGGAGTTTTTGGATTTAAATGAGACTGGAGATGCCACTCCACTTGCCACCTTTTGTTTGTTCATCAGAATGAAAAAGTGAGAGAGCAACTAGGGCTGACAATTAAATCTGACAACTAGTTTCTTTATTAATCGATTAATCATCCATAAAACATGCCCATTATAATCGTCTTTAAATGTCTTGTCAGGCCAAAACCCCAAAGATAATGAGTTTACTATAGTGCAGCAAGCAACATCTCACATTTGTGAACCTGAAACCATCAATCATTTTTGCTTGCAAGCGACTGATTGGTTAATCAATTCTAATGACAGACACCGACTTCCTTTGGGGTTTTGATTGTGACACTGCTTCCTTACAGGACGGTTAGGAACAAGCAAAACGAGCAAACATCAGATCTTCCTAATGAAGATGCCCTAACCTGCTTTGTGCATCAGCCAACAAGCTGAGCGTCACTCGCCCTGGTTCTATGTATCATATTCTATATTTATTGACAAAGTTTAGTGCCCTTGCTTCATCTCAAACCTCCTAAAACGAGCTGTGGAGTCTGGTCTGGCCGGTGGGAGACGTTTGCTTTAGACTAATTAATGAAGTTGAGAAGAGGCACATCTTACATGAACCACAGCATCCTTTATATTTAAAGATATCTTCAAGGTTTGGAAGGAAATCAGGGAGCTGCTGGGAGTTAAAAGTAAAGTAAATTGTCCTCCAACTATATCGAAACAAGTCTGACAAAAAGTTGCTCATCGTATATCAGGACCTTTTTTTGAGTTTGCTTGCTTCCAGTTAGGAAGCGAAGTCAGCCAGTGGAGAGTGTGTGCACATATCTGTATCCATAAAATGTGGTGTTTTAATTTTTCCCCCAAGAATATTAATGACTATGTAACAATAAATTGTTCCAGTTTTGTAATCTGAGTCACTTTGTGTCATTTAATTTCAATCATCTTAAGTGGAACCTTTCTTTTCTTATTATTTTTTTGTCTTTTCATTGTGTATAAATAAAAAACAAAAGAACACACGAGAGACAATCCTCAGCTTTTTTCCCTCCCTCACATGTTAAGTGAGGCCTTGCTTCCTAATTAACACCCACACAGGCAAGATGGGCGGCATTACACTCCCGATAAAGCAGCGGAGAACCTCTTCGGAGGAGCAGGTGGTTACGGTCGCTGAGGATTATAATGGAAGAAGTCTGTCAGTGGGAGGTTTTAAATGGGATATTCCTTTGCAACCTCAGATCCATTCACCCCGCTAATGAATTACTAGCATCACAAGCTCTTAGGAAATTAGCACTCTGGGAAGTTGAAGAGGAGGTGGGCGTGTGCAGATGGGTGTCATCACTAAGGAGACAATGGAGAGTCATGGAGGGTTTTGGTGATTGGAGGGAGGGCCCCGGCTAGATTATAAATGTCATTAGTTCATATACGTTAGCGTGTGTTCAGTGGCAGGAGACGGATGTTAAATGCACGTGGGTGGAGTGAGGTTTGGATATATGACGTGGAACCTCCCAATCTTTGCTACATTTCCTCCTCAGAATCACCCTTCACACCCTTAGTGGGTTATGTTGTAGCGGATGCTGAAGGCGAGAGTAATGACTCTAGAGCAGACGTGTATTCGTAACTGTCACAGATTAATTCGCAAGCTCCTCTTCTCTTATTTCTAGGTATATTCTAGGAGATTTGAATAAATGTATCTTCTAACCTAGGTTATGAAGGCAATCTAAGTGAGGAGCTAAAATAACAATACACATTTTCGAGGACAACATAGATTATTTCCAGGATATTTGGTAATTTTGAACAATTTCTAGGTGTTTCTATGACTGGAAAACTAGTCCCTGAATTTCCAGGTTTTCCAAGGATGTGTGGGAACCCTGAGGGAACCTTTGAAAAACAACTGTATAAAGTTCAAAACTGCAAAAATGGTCAAACTTTGGAACCAAAAAGGTTTTCAACAACAAAACACAAGTTCTTGTCTCCTGTTCTGACACTGATGTATGTTTCTTGTTAACAATGCCGCTACACCTCTACTCACTGGATGTCTCTTTGTACATCTGAAGCTGTGTTGTTTTTGTTTCAGTGCTGTAGTTCCCTGTTTGCCCACCAGGTGTCAGCAGTGAGAAACAAACCGCTCTGCTCCGCCGCTGCGTCTGCACGGCAACATCAGCGCGGCAGAGCAGAGGAGCTGCTCTAGCTCCCTCGGGGCTTTGACGTCAACCCGGCAGATCTGAGCCAGTGCCGCAGCTGTGCACCGACACACACACACACACACACACACACACACACACACACACACACACACACACACACATATATATACAGACAACCCGTCATGCACACGTGTGTTAGAGACACATGTTGTCACATGTAGGCTTCGCTCAGTCTCAAAAGTGCACACACTCAAATTCGTGCACATATGGAGGGCAAAGACACAAATGTGAACACACTCACACACAAACCAGTGCTTGTTTTTCTGTCTCCTGGGACGTAGACACATGGACACACACACTTTTCTGTGGTGGTTTCAGATTAGGCATGTTACACACTGACGACCACGCAATTAATGTACTTATGTGTGCTCACGTCTGTTTCTCCATGCTTGGATGACATTAAAGTCAGCCTATGTGGAAACTAGTGTGTGTATAATATGTATGTGTGTACACATTGTTGTACCTGTGTGTGTGTGTGTGTGTGTGTGTTTGTGTGTGTGTGTGTGTTTGTGTGTGTGTGTGTGTGTGTGTGTGTGTGGCACCAACTCTGACCTTGGTATCAGCCTGACCCGTGAGTAAAGGCTTTTCCTCTG